GTTGGAAATATATAGCAAATATAGTTACACTGACTTTTTTGAGGTTTTGGGTTCGAAAATGCTATAAAAACCAAGAAAAACAATCATTTTCCTGTAGTCTGGTTCCCTGACTCCATATAAGAAGAAACAGAGCAGTTTACATACATTGGGGAATTGTAAGGTCAGGGAACCAGTCTAGCTGGCTTGTACCCGTTCATAGGTGTGTAATCAATTGCAAACAAGTGCGATGGTCAATTGGGGCCAGTATTTGAAAAAAAGCCAGTTTTTTCCAACGCTGGTCGGCCGACCAGCATTGGAAATTGATACAAAAATACCACTTTTCTTGAAAATGACAGTATACCAGGTGCCATGATTTTACAGGATGCTTTACACTGTCATTCACTAACAGTCCAGCAAGGTATTTCAAAATGATTTGGTAGTTTTATTTTTTGATGTTTGCAAATGTTGTATTTTCCCTTTAACCCTTACCCTACTAGACCCTCCAACGCATGCCAATATGTGCCTCAAGAAAATCTCCTATGTTTTTTGCATGGCCCTCCAATATCTGCCATGTCATTTCAAGGGTAACTGGACAGGCACTCCAATACATGCCACAGAGAACAATGAGAGTCCTCTGATAACAAAGTGAGTGCCCCCAGCTGGTCAGTATCAGGCACCCTCCAGGGCCTCCAACTCCTGCCAATTGGAGCCTTCACGGTTAAGACTTGTTATCTGCCAAATAACTGCAGCTGGAGGGCATTGGCATAACCAACTGACATGCAGTAAACTACCCTCAGAGAGTAAGGGTTAATGAGCATTGTAAACATTGTGATATATGTACATAATAATAGATAAGGCATTTTTATGATGTCTGTTCACTCTGTTCAGCTTGCTAAAGCCATACATGTGCATAAACTTCACAATCCCATATTGATCAGTTGGCAAAGTGCTATGAAATTGTATGGTTGTCAACCAGATCGGGACATTGAGTACAGAAAACACACAAAACAAAATCAGGCCAACTTTACTCACTCTTTAGCTGACAACATTCTCCTAAACTAATGACAAGGTCCTCAGTATTTCACCAGCCAAGTTTGAGTGTCAATTCAATTTTTAAAGGAGACTTTTCTTCAATATTTAGCACCCGAGTGAAGCCAAGTGATTTTTAACCTGAGGCCTAAGACTAGACTGGTGCATGTCCAACTTTTTGATAAGATTGACACTTCAGTAGTCTGGTGGCATGACTATCGAGAATGTGCAGAAATAGATACTGGGTACCAAATTTCTTTTGACACAGTTGAATGACGCAGTACTAAAGGGGTGTTGGACTGGTTGTTTCATGTGCCAGTCTATGTTCTTGTGTTGCATGTTTTCAATACCTTAGGTTTTAGGGCTCTCATACACAGTAGTGAGAGTCCCAAATTTTGGACAAGTTGTCAACCTGTTAATATTTTTTTTTCACCTGCTGCAAAAAAAAAACATCAGAAAAAAACTTGTGACACATCAAACTCATCAGACTATCGGATGATAACAAGTACATGTAATTCAAGTTTAATCTACATGTACAGTACACAACCCAACCTCCAAAGTCGAACTTTATCATCCCTCTAAACCACAGCCATCCGATTATTCCGAAGATTATTTTTGGTATTTGACATCATGTCAGGAGTCGGGCAAAGTTCACAGACGTCTGTGGAACTCTGACCAAAAGTCGGCAAACAATGTGAATTCTAGCCTTGTACCATCTCATTGTTAACGGCAACAATAATGTTTCTTGGATATGGGTGGCATGCGAAGAATGCATATTGAGCAATGGCTTATTGAGCAATGAAGTTTTCTTGGAAAAAATTGGGCACAATCTTTACTTACTCTTCAGCCCCCAAAATATTTTTTTTTTAATTTCCATATGCCACAGGAGGTCCTTGAGAAATTCTATGCCACTTAAAGGAGTTGCTTCAACCAACTTGGTCATGGGTTCGAATGTTGGCAGAAATTTGATGACAGAGAAATTTGCCAAGCACATGAAACATACAATGTTTATGATTATCCCTAACTCCCTGGAGGCATTTTTACTAAGATGCAACCTCAATCCTGCAAAATCCTCCAACTACCTCCATGTAAAAAGTGCATACAGCCTCAATCCTCCAAAATCCTCTGTTATTATTTTAATGTGGTCCTTGACGCGGTGACCAGTGCCTCAATCCTGCAAAATCCTCCAGCAATCACTGTCAATATGTTGAGGCAGAGCCAGTGACATCCTGGAGCAGTGCGGAGGATTTCAAGTATAATCTACATGTAGGCCTAAATGTATGCACAGCTGAGTATAAACAACACAAGGTCCGGCCCAAGACCTTGACACAGTGAACACCGCTTGAGTTTGAGTCCCAGCCTGACCGATGTTTTGAAACTTTATTTTGTGTGTCCACATTTTTTTTTAAGTTTTATTGTTTTCAATGGAATCCTATATTTAATGGCTGAGTATTTCATCTTTTTCTGATTCACGGCTCTGGGGGATTTAATAAATGGGAAATTAAAATAAGTCCGAAATTTGAAAACTACTGGTAGGTCTAGAAAATACTTGAAATGATGATTTCGGCAGCTGTGTTGAGGCTAAATTTCATGGCCTCCGCCATTTTCAGACCACTGAGCGCTGGCTAGTCCGAGTAACTTGGACCCAACTTTTTAACCTTTTTAGCCTTTTTAACATTCGGACATGGTCTGGTGATAGCCGCGATAGTAGGGTCCAAGCTAAACCGCACATGCTGAGCAACACAATGCACACATTGACCCAAAAACCCGACATTGCCCCCCCCCCAAAAAAAATCAGATTTCACCCTAAAAATGACCTCAAAATCACTAGATATGCCACCTGAGGTACAAGTAGACATCAATGATTAAGATGGTGGTACTGAAGTTTACTTACGATCCGGATGAAAAGTGAAATTTCCCGTTCAATTCCAAGAGCTCCCCTCACGATCTTGAACACATTAAATTTCTGACTCGTGTTTGAACAATGCGAACTGGCGTGCCCAGCATTCCTTCGATGGTCCCTGTATCCCGAGTGCGATTCCGTTACCGAGCCCGATGTATCGATAATGTTAATGAGTAGATCCGATCTCATTTGTAAACACAAGTGCATTTCGAACAATGACAGGGAGTCGGGAATTAGCTTGAACTGGTTTCTGCTGATAGCTGCCCTAGTTTTCAAGCCAAGTGCAAATGCTGAAGCCTAGTATTTTTTTAATAAAATTATCGATAAAATTATAAAAATAGCCTAACTGCAAGAAATTATAACATGTATACTTATAAATGAGTATAATGCAAATAATTTTAATTCATACAGAGATACAACAACCTAAGGTACACAAGCACGTCCGCGTATGTGCATATTTATGTGTAGAATAAGAACAAGGTTGAACTTGTCATAAATACTGTTATTAATTTTATGATCAATTTTTCAACCAACTCTCAGCGTACTCCTAGAACTATGAGGCTCCGCGTGAGCGGAGCCTCATAGATCAAGAAGCCCGCAAAATTGCCTGCAGCACAAAACACTAATAAAGTACAAAAACGTCCATCAAAATGCAGCCATTTCACACAGAACCGCTGCACAGTTTGCCCCTATACTCCGTACTTTATCTCTTGACATACTCACGTATCTTGTGCGGAACTAACATAGGTGGATTCTGTCGGTTTTTAGGCCAAAATGATGAAAAATATGCCCTTTCCGCACTGAGCCAACCTGACACTTGAAACGTGCACGCATATGATCGAGCGATGATTTTCGGTTCGCTCGGAGCGCGCCGCGGGGGGTACGGTACAAGCGAAATGACGTGCTTGTACCGTACCCCCCGCGGCGCGCTCCGAGCGAACCGAAAATCATCGCTCGATCATATGCGTGCACGTTTCAAGTGTCAGGTTGGCTCAGTGCGGAAAGGGCATATTTTTCATCATTTTGGCCTAAAAACCGACAGAATCCACCTATGTTAGTTCCGCACAAGATACGTGAGTATGTCAAGAGATAAAGTACGGAGTATAGGGGCAAACTGTGCAGCGGTTCTGTGTGAAATGGCTGCATTTTGATGGACGTTTTTGTACTTTATTAGTGTTTTGTGCTGCAGGCAATTTTGCGGGCTTCTTGATCTATGAGGCTCCGCTCACGCGGAGCCTCATAGTTCTAGGAGTACTCTCAGCGCTAGTCCGAAAATTTGGGACTCTAAATACTGTGTATGAGAGTCCCAAAACTTAAGGCATCCATATTGTGCAAAAGTTTGTGCTGCATAATAAAACCAGTGTGAATCAAATGTGCAAGCTTCTTACTCACTACAGTTTCTTCAATAATCCCCGAAACTTCTGCCCTGCAAAGTTGCTGTTGTGAGCATTGCATCACCAAAAATTCAGCGTTTAATTCTAATTTTGCAGGGAGTTATCGAAATCCAAATGCGAAACATCACGTTGATGTGTACTGCAATGCATTGTGCAAAAAGACTCCTCAGCTAAAACAATTTCATCGTGTAGATAAAACAGCGCCCTCTTGTTGATCTGAGTGAATGCAGAATGTTTCATTTTTTAACAGAGGGCGCTATGTTCATTTGGCCATCGATTAAAAAACAAGTAAGCTGCAAGGCTCTTCCTACACCTACCCAGAATACCTTGGGAAACACACCACCATTTCTAAAGCATGGAGAATAACGTGGATGGTTTTTGAACTGTCAAAAACTTGCCTTAAAATTGGAGTTAAGGTCTCAAATTTTGCAGGTGACATGCTTGCAACTTAAGCATTTTGATGTATGTGTTGTGTGGGCATTAATTAGCCTAATGGTGAGTAAAAAAACGTCAGTAGTAATTTTGCACGTTTTTATGCACTCACGGTCCCAGTCTGTCTCAGCGCACACCTCAACACAATTTTGAACCCCCTGCCAAGAACTGAATGCCACCACCCGTCCCTAAATTCTTTCTGCATCTGCTGAACTTAACCACCCGATCACTAAATATTCCACATGCACAGCAAGAATACTCACATGGTTGTGTTTTGGCGATAGCCGATTCCGCCAGAAAACAAGGGAAAAGCATAAACTTATGCTTCGAAAGCAGACGTGTTCACTTCCCCGTCACATCTCGCCATGTTTAGATTCTGGTCTCTCATGAATAATTCATTACAAAGACTGCGCGCAAGCTGGTATCCAGCACTAAAGCTAAAATCATGCAAAAAATTAACGTGAACCAATGAAGATAAATTCTGGACGTCAGAGGGCGATATTCACTTCCACCTGAAAAAACGCATGGTAAGTTTGCACTTTGGGGGTGTGGTGTTTCGAAAGCCCATAAAATTTCCCATTAAGTTGTTATTTGTCAATATTACAAAGTTATGAGTTCTTCAGTGACTCGTCTTTGGAAATACATGTAATAGAGTGAAACTTGTGAAGGCAATTTATGTGTTTGGTGTGTCAAGAAAAAATATAAGGTGTTCGACATGTTGGGTGCACTGGACCGTGACGACCTGCACGTGGGGCCGCGGTATGGTTTGAATTCGACACATGGCTCCGAGTAGTCGCCGGGCTTTTCTTTGGAGAGTGAGTTGACCGGCGTAGTGTACATGTACATGTACATCATGCGTATACTCCGTTGGTTGGTTGTAGTCCAGAAAGTTTATGGGCCTATTTTAGCTATTTTAACCGGATAATTGAAACTTAAGACAAAAAAAGGGGGGAGGGGGTTATGATACATTATTATTAATTAGTGTTTCGTCACATATCTTATTTTATTACCCTATTTCGATTGGTTCTATAAAGTTGTCATTAAAACAGTGTGATATTATTGCCTTGTGGTGTGGTGTGTGTCATTTTAAATGATCATGTTCAAAGTTGGATCCTCCCTTTTTTGGTTAACTTTAGCCAACAAAACTTTTTTTGGCCCCTATATTTTTATTATAAGTTTATAGCTGCACTCCTCTTTTCCGGTTTGATTGTATTCATCCATGCATTTTTTGAGAAAATGAAATGTGTAAAAAGTATATATATAAAAATTGGAGTAGGCCACATCATTGAAAAACAAAATCTGCCTCAATTAACCCTGCTCCCCTGGTTTTTTTCTGTCACTCTTTTTTTTAAACAATTATGTATGCCTACAGAACTATTGGCCTATTATGTAAAAACGTCTTATAATATAAGTATGCGCCTTATTCGTATTTTTGACTAATAATAAAGGAAGTCGTTCAGTCCAAATTTGAATTTTACATTTCCTTAAAATTATCTGGGAATTTCCTGATTGTTTTCTTTTTAGATAATTATAACTCAAAAAAGTCACCATGGTAACAGTAAAATATGGATAGGCCTATTGCTTAGAGGTTTAGTTTCTCAGCGAAAGTCTCTTCGAATTTTCTTCTATAAGTGCTTCCTCATCATCTGCACTCGCCTTCAGAATTTTCATGAAGACTGATGCTGCTTCTGTTCCTTCGCGGGCGTTCCGTACAGAGGTCCCTAAAATGGCCTAATAATGGCCTAATAATGCATTCGTTTGGACACAAATGTAGGAAATAAACGGTTGCAACCTGACGCCACTTTTTTTTCATAATATTCAATGAAGGTCGACGGAGATCTCCCCCCCCTTAAAAAAAATAAAATAATAATTATAATGAATTTTAAAATCAAATCAAATACTTTAAAAAAAAATCTAAAGTTTATCTTAGAAGAAGAGTAGACTGGTTTTTAAATCTATGTTACTCATTCCCTATCCATGCTGGCCCTCTGCGGATTTGTGAGATATGAATTTAAAAAAAGGGAAAGAGCGGCCCTTAGCGTCAAAAGAGGTCCATCTCACCAACTTTTCAGTTTGCAACGGCCAGCTGACAACTTGCCCCTCCCTCCTCCTCCCCCCCCCTCCCCCCTCGCGGCCCCTTGTTCACCCATATTCATTTTTCTGTGTGTATTTAACCGGAATCGTTTTGGAACATCAAAGACGATTTTGACACATTTCCGTACGTCAAATTTACCTCAAAAAATTGTTTGGTTTCCATGATAAATTCAACCCCATTCACCTTTGATATGAGTTAAGAAATAACGGAATTTCACGAAGAATAGCTAAGTTTTCAAAGGCTCGATTTAAATTTTAAATAAAATAATAATGGTTTATCATTATATTATGAAGCAGAGGTCATAGTTGCTGGTCGTTTAAAAATTGGCTCATAAAAATAATTGTATTAATTTCTTTCAGTGCCTTTTAAGTGTCTATATCGATTGGTGAAGCTTAAGTAGTATACATTGTATATATACACGTGCCTATTCGAAATTTCGTTTTCTGTTCCGAGCGACATATAATGTTCTGCAACAAATACATGTGCTTGTTTATTTTTGCAGGCCTTTGTACAGTTTTAAAAAGTGTTTTGAAATGGCGCGCTCCAGTTCAGAAATTGCGCACATTATTCAGAACGAGTTAGGAGCGTCCCGCTCTCTGATCAAAAGTTGAAATTATAACTTATCGTGGGCTGATTTTTTCGTGCGATGTCCCATTGGAAAGCTCATAACTAATGTAACGCTAAAAAAAATTATATGCTCAATTTTAAAAACTATTTATCAAGGTGCCACACCCCAAAAGCACTTAAATGGTAAATGCAATCAAATTAATAATATTGATAACTCTGTGCTCTTTTTATCGAATTCAATTTTTACTCTTATCGAATTTTTAAATTGACTGTTTTGTTTTCATGAAATACTTTCTCAATCTCTGAATAAATCGTTTTGCGTTGCTTGATTTACGCATCTATATAACGAACAAAACGTCCGCCTTAAAAAAAAGTAGTGCCGCTTCGAAAGTCGGTTCCAGAACAAACTTGTGCTGAGTTTTCATAGGCCTATACGATGTTTAATTCAAGAGTAAGACAATAACTTTTATTGCAAGAAAATGTGTCAATTAAATTAATTTACTTATCAAGGTGAAACTCGAGCATAGCACGGGGGAACAACTTTAAGAATTCATCAAATAGGCTAAGCACAAAAATAATACACATGACATTTTACTCTCTCGATTTGAACGATTGATCAAGAAATTACCGGTATAAAAATGCACTGCGAAATTTACAAATATAAATTACATAGGCAAAAATCTCAAGAGCCGAAAGGTAAAATGCGCGGCATCAAAACTTAATGCGACGCGAAATCTTGAAATTTCCCCCCCCCCCAAAAAAAAAACCAAAAAACACAACGCGGAATAAAAACTTGCGACAGCACAAATGCTACACAAAATCTAGAAATGCACAACGCAAAAATATCGAGATCTAGATCTAGAAAAAAACGAACAAAACGACGCCATTAAAAGGCAATTAACACGAAAGAAAAATGCGATGTGGAATGTGGAAATGTGGCGGCGTAAAAAATCTCAGGCTCCGTATTACAGGAAATCTGGAAATGTGACGCGAAAAACAGAACATGGAACTGCTAAACTACTAAACATGCTAAATTCGACGGCAGATATTGGTATAGTTAACGTTAGAACAAATAATACTCTCAGAAGTAACTGCACAAAATACTGATTTGAGTAGAATAGATGAGTGCGCGTGCGCGCTGACTTAATTATTGGTCGTCAAATCAATTACTTAAAATCTAGAAACAAGATACGCGCTGATTGTCAATGTTACTAAATTGTACAAAAGAATAAGTAAAATTGTGTAAAAAAAAATGTCGTAGGTTATTAGTATTATGATCATGATTTTCTTATTTTTTTATTAGAATCAAAAATGAAATGTTTTACGTTAAAATGACCTACTTTACGTTTAAAAAACAAAAATCTGTTTTACTTTTAGAGAAACTGAATTCCGAGACTCCGTGTATCTTCATAAGAAGCGCAAACTGACATGCGCGCTGAATTAGTGCTGAAACTACTTGATCGGCCGACTTGAAAAAAAACTAAATTATATATATTGCAATAAGAGCGCATGCGCGCCAACTTAGCTATAGTCGGAACCAGTCTGATATAGACTGGTTCTGACTTTATTTTTTTTTTTGATTGCGTAATTCATCGAAACCTTTATATTTTAAATCCAAACATCACTAGCAGGAAGAGCGCAATGGCCTAGTGGAAGGCACCCTAGCGCTCAACCGAATGGTTGTGGGTTCGATTCCCACCGATGTACCAAATGAAGATTTTTACTTCTTTTTACTTTATATATTTTAATTAAAAAGAGTAAAATTCTATTTATTTTATTTTATTTTATATAGTTGGGGTAGACACGCGATACAGAACTCGGACTCGCCGCAGGTTTCCCTGCAGCCAGTCCGAGTTGCCGCGGCCGGGACTCGAACCAGGGGCGCCGGCTTACCCGTCGGCACCTCTACCGGGTTCACTAACTGGGTCCCCCAGTGCAAATCGCACTTCCTATAATTAAAACCCTTAGAATCACCCAAAGAAATCGAAAATAAAGTACGCCCTCAAGCATCGTTTCGTACTTAGTAATAAATTCAATCGGCCCCAGCTAAAATACGCCCTCAAGCATAGTTTCGTACTTAGTAATAAAATTCAATCGGCACCAGCTTGCACGTGCCGTCTGTCAGTTAATTATTGTGGGAAGATCAAGCAGGAATAAAAAAGACACTTACTATTGAAACTTGATTTGTAGATATTTGGGGGTCGGGATGTTATATTGGCAGGGGATATGAAGCCATGGTTTATACGGGATAGGATATCAGGGTTTAGGGATTTGAAGAAGTTAGGCATAGGTGAGCCAAACTGTTGAAATCACAACTTGGTAAAAAAATTCACATCGACTGAGCAGATCTGTACGGTAACAAAACTCCATTTATTTTATTTTCGCTCAAAAAAGGTGAATGATACTATTGCAACTATTTTGATAAAAAGAGAAACTTTCGTAGTCTAAAATATCCACTCTTTCAAGGTTCCTGCAGATATTTTTTCGGAACAAAACACCTTGATGATAACACTGTTATACAATTTCATTTTATGCCATGAAAATTAAGACGGAGATTATTACTTTTACAAGCGTTTACAAGATACAAAATGACATTTGCAAAACTATGTTTACGTTTTACTTGATTTTGGTACAAATATTCTCCACTTTTGTTTGTATCTTTCCAGGACCGATAACTACCATTGCAGGAACCTTACAACTTGCTGAAAGAACTAAGGTAAAATATCAGAGTGTATTTAAACAAACGTATAAAGGGTGAAATATCCAGTTTCTCTTACTGCTTTTGTAGAGTATAAAATTGCAAAACGGGAAAGCGTTAAAAAAAGAGAATTCACTTGATTAAGGTTATACAATTTTACATCTTGAAATTAACAAAACTATATAGCTACATCTCTACAAGAGTTGCTTAGACAAATTGATTTTTGGATGTTCAACATTTCAAATCGTCTTTCAAACTTTTGAACTCGAGCGTCTCAAATTACCGTGCCAAAAGTTACAAAATATATATGAAAATATCAAAAATTGTATCAATTTAGAATTTTGCAGATCTTATTGTTTTTGACAAGAATATCTAATTAGAATTTGTTGGAAATTAAAAGCGCCACAAAACATTTTAATCTCATAAGCTGCTGTGTAGTTAGAATAAAATATAGAACTTCAAATAACCTATAAAAATGTTGTTTTTCCTACATTTAGTCTTTAAGGTTTGCATAAACTAGGCACACAACCATGACTATTGCCCAATACCACTGCTGGTGCAAGAGTTACCAAACATGAATTATGAACAGAAATAGGAAAAAATGTTGCAACCTGACGCCACTTCCGCGATTGTGTACAAAGACTATGGAGAGTCAATAATATTTTTTAAGTATTTCCTAACAAAATTGGAAATATTTCTCAGTCCCAGATTTATGTCTTTATCATTTTTGCAATGAATGATCTTCATTGAGATGACATATGAAGAAAAAAGTGGCGTCAGGTTGCAATATTTTTTTAAAGAAATACATGCGTTTTGGTTTATGCTTGGACTAACTTTTGACTTCTGATTATAAATACAAATCCAAATCTAATATTCTAAGTTTGGGCTCAGAAACGGGCTTCAAATGTTTGTTATTTATGAATTTTCACTTTCAATCTGCTTCCAGACAAAAAAAATTTGTCCTTTACTGAGTTTCATCTGAAAAATCTCAGAATATCTTTTTAAAAATGAAAATTTACATCAGGTTGATAGTTGTAAACTCCATGGATGTTGCTTTAGGTAACACAGACTTTACTGTTGAGTGTGGTATTTTATGACTTTGGTTTGTTTTTTTGACAAAAAATCAGTGAGATTTCCATCTATTTTTGGCATTACGATGATACCCGCCAATTTGACTAACACTCAAACTCTTTGCAGGAGCAGTCAGTCACGATCTCCACAGGCAGTGTCACCGCCTCACCGTTAGGGCACACCAACTCAAAGTAGTCCGTCTCGAAGGCGCTGGGACGGCAACAGCGACAGATGCTCCTCCAGAACTCGTTACCGTTGGCTTCGTAGCCGTTGAAGACAGTGTAGGACTCGCAGCGGCCCTGGCACATCGGTAAGTAGACGGGGGTCGGTGTGGAGCAGCCGTCCTTGATGATTGTGGTGGGTCTGTCGGGCATGAGGGGTTGACAGGCCTCGTTGTTGTGAGGCGGCGCAGCTGGAAAACGGAGGGGATACGGGTAAGTACCAATCGGAAATTTGTGGATAGGAAATGTGATGTTGTGTCTAGTGAAATTTGGATTAGGGATCGTGAAAAACGTGTGGTCCGCGTACCATGTTGGATAAAAAGTTTGATAAGGTGTCCTACTTGGCATTTAAAGGTAGGGTAGATTATTTGTAATTTGTGCTTTTTTTTTTTTTTAAAGCTACAAATGTGTTCAAAATCTAAAGACAGGTACTTAACAACTAAACCTGATGAAGTTTTACCTCGGTCAATGCTGTATATTTCGAGAAAACAGTATTCTAGGATCTCAAATTAATTCATAAGCTGCCGAGTCATATTTTGAATTGCGCCCGAAATCAGCATCTGAGACATGTTCTCATTCAGCTGATTGCAGCTACGCGACGTCACACACTGAACTGATGAATAATAGCAACCGCACGTGTGTATGCGTCGTGTTAACGCTTACGCACGCACCCATACACGGATTCTTAAAATTACACACCAACTGCTAATGGAAATTTCCAAAAATGCGTCACTTGACGCATCTTTTCAAATGGCCTTCTTTTATTTTCTTCAAAATGACAGCATGCCAGAAGGAATATTTTCACAAACGATCTATGAAAAAAAGGAGTAAATCTCCCTTCTGTGGTTTATTTGATACTTGGAGGATATAAAGTGGCGATGTCTATTTGAGAAGGTTCACTTACTAGTTGAAGGAGCTCTCTCGGTTGTGGAGGCAACTGTAGTGACGGGAGGCTCAGGCGTTGTCCCGCAGCCGATGTTCACAAAGTTGCAACACCGCAGTCGGATGGAGTAGTCAAAGCAACGAGGAATATCCGGCTGGTCGTTATGCAGACAGATCAAGCCCTCCGCGGGGTTACACAGCACGTTCTGCTTGGTCATTTCGACGAGCACCTCGTGGTCGGACTTGAGGGCGCACTGTATCTGACGCGGATCCTGACAGAAGTCGTACTGATCGTGGAAGGTTGAGATCAGCTCAAACTCTCCGATCGGGCCGACTTTGCCGTCATCGTCGTCAAACCAGGGTGTCCACTCACAGACTTCCTCGTAAATCGGCTTGCAAGCTGGTAAGACAAAAAATGGTTCAGAAGATTTAACCCTAACTCCCTAGCATATACTAGGAACTGGACCAAGTCCGTCAAAATCCATCAATCAAAACTGTACATGTCATAATGGAATCCACCACTGACAAACTGGTTGACATTCATGGACTTGCTACACATGGCTTTTATCACAATACCAGTACAGGAAGCTGGGCAAAATCAATCGGATACCCCTAGCACTGCTTCAGGATATTAGGCCAAAGTCCATCGTACTCCATCATTATTTGGTCACGCTAGGCCTTCAGGACCAAGTTCCCCCAAAATCCACCGAAATGGGGGGATTGATTGCGATGGAGTTGGGGTGGTTCTGAGACAAATTTCATTGAGATGCTTGGAAGAAAGTTTTGCTCAGAAAATGTATATTCTTAGGCAAAAATCAACGGAGAAGCAGTAACTTGCAGTGTACATTACATGAAGTTTTGACTAAAAACATGCTCTGGTAACTTGTAATGCTTATATAGAACTTTCCATTGTATCAACAATCTCAAAGCGCTTCACAATTATCCCCCAGTCAGACCACGAGACCATGATGCAGCTGATATCAGCGCACAAATTCGGTCCTCTGCCCTCACAGGTACCCATTCATACTCCTTGGTGGAGAGAGGCAATTGTAGTTAAGTGTCTTGCCCAAGGGCAAGACACTGGCAGGGTTCGAACCCACATACCATCATTCATGAGTTAAACACCGTAACCGCTGGACAGTCGCATTGTAGTAAAGGAACTCTAATTCTGTGATAAAGCAACTCTGTGCTAACAAGCTATGTCCAATTGACCCTTGTCGGGTAATTTAAGACGGTACCATTAGACATTCACGGAAACCTTCAGTTCGGATGATTTTAATTGATGTTGTTATTGAAGTGTGGTATGGCGGTGTTTTAAAACTTCTTTTTAGGTGCAGATGCTGTGTCAAGAAACTTACGTGTTGTGAATTCGCTCTCCGTGGTTGAAGGCTCAGTGGGCCGAGTTGTGAAGACATCTGGTGGAGGCGTGGATTCCACAGTAGTGGGTTCAAAGACTGTGGAGGATGGAACAAAGCCGTTAATTAAACAACCTGCTACAAAATGCACCTGTTGCTGCTAAACTAATTGGGATACTTGCAACTAAAACACAAAGGAATGCATGATTAAGGATGGACAGGGAAGTCAGGTTGGAGCAGTCATACTCGGTATCCTTAATCCTTCCCTCTACACCCAAACGACTTCACAGGATCCTTATAAACCCTACAGCTAGCACAAACCCAGCAATCTCCTGAAGACAAACAGAGTGTAGTGTTTGAAACATTGAGATCCTATTCTCAACACTGGCTCTCTTCAGAGCCGACACTTTTGTCACAAAAGAGATTTGTCCATGGTGTACCCGCAAAACTACTTCCATTCTCAGTCATACTTTCCTCACTTTCCGCCGTTGTGACGTGGGTTCGAATCCCGTCAAGGGCAAAATGTGAATTGGATTTCGGTTCATAATTCTTTGGATTTTTTTTTCAGGGAATATCCTTCTCAGGTTTTCCTTCCACCTCTACAACTGAAGCTTTAGTGTCTGTCAAAAAATGATGAAGAGGAACTCACCGGTTGTTCCCTCAACTTCGGTAGTTGATTTTACCGGCCGAGTTGTCGGCTCCACTGGAATGGTTGATTCCGGAATCGTAGTGGACTCAACAGGGATAGTTGATTCCGGAAGTGTAGTTGACTCAACAGGAATAGTTGATTCAGGAAGTGTAGTTGACTCGCTAGGAACTGTGGATTCTGCCGGTGTAGTTGGGACCTCCTTCGTGGTTGGTTCTGGTCCTTCTGTAGTTGGCTCCTGCCCAGCAGTCGTTGACTGTTCAGTGGTGGGTACCGGTTCCGAAGTTGGGACTCCCTCCGTAGTTGGTTCTCCCTCCGTAGTTGGTTCTGTAGTGTGCTGGGGCTCAGGAGTGGTGGGCACCGGTTTGGTGGTCCGCTCGTCCTCTGTGGTGGATACCAGTGTAGTGGGTACCGGCTGGGTTGTCTGCGGATTGCATGGGATGACTATATCCTGGCAGCATCTGACGCGGATCTTGTAGTCGAAGCAGAACGGAGGGAAATCAGTCTGCTCAGAGTGCAGACACACTAAGCCTTCGTCGACATTGCACGTCACCACCTGCAGATGGAGAAACATTGATATTTTATTGATAACTAAAATCATTAGTTATCAATAACTAGAGCCTTTGTCAATGCAAGTCACTATAAGGAGATGGCAAAATATCGATATTTAATTGATAACTACATGTATATGCTTTGTGCAAAACTGAAGAACAGAACAGGACAATAGGCCTATACCATGTCACGTCTCCTCTTTGGCATGAGAATTTATCAATATGTAGCGGATAGCTACAAAAGATACTTTACTTCGCCAAGACCAAAAATCTTCCCAAAAATATTAATGGTTTTTTTTTTTTATATTGGTTTATTTTCATTCAACTTGTGGCTCTCAGGCCAAATTGCAGGAAAGATAAAATAAAAAAACATTTAAAAAAATACACAATAATATAGTCCAAATATAAAAAAAGAAAACAGGCAAAAGTAATGGTCCAGCCAAAATAACAAAACACAATGAAAGAAACTGCACACACTGGAATGAAGTAAGATTAATTGATAAAATTGATAAACTTGACCTTAAAAGATGGCACAGCCACCACTAATAAGATATTGCACCAAGTACACAATAGACCCTTGTGGGAGTGTGTGGCCTAGTTGTTAGGGTTTGTGACTCATGATCAGAGGGTCCGGGGTTCGAATCCAGCCGCTGGTCATATATTGTGTCCTTGGGCAAGCCACTTCACCCCTACTTGCCCTTCTCCACCCAGGAGTATAAATGGGTACCGGCATTAGCTGGGGAGTAACCTGCGATGGACTAGCATCCCATCCAGGGGGAGTAGAAATATTCTCAGTTGTTTCATGCTACTGAAACCGGAGATAAACGCCGGCCAAATGAGCCACATTGGCTCGGGACAGACTTTACTTTTACTTTTACACAACAGACCCAGACATAGCATGATATTGCAATTGGCCAATGTCTGAGCACATTTATGGCAATGGGCTTGCCTTCGATCAGAACGAGTTTCGATTCCACACTCATTAACTGCATCTTTTTATATGAAATGTAATTTTTACCTAAAATGATTTTGCATGCTCTCTTTTTCACTTTCTCTTAAGTGCAAAACAATTCTCAACAAGTCATGTTTTTAAAATACTGGTTTATTATTCTTGGTCTGTTGTCACAGTTTTGGGAATAAGTTACTGACAAAACATCTTAAATTAATTACACACCTGGCCTGTCTCATTTGAGTGAACGCTCGGCTGTGACTTGAGCACACATTCAATGTTGGCAACTGTGTCGCAAATGTCGTACTCCTCCCGATAGGTGGAGATGAGCTCAAACTCGCCAAGAGGTCCCACCTTGTCTTCCTCATCATCCAACCAGGGAGTCCACTCGCAAGACTTCTCAATCACGTCCACGCATTCTGTGTTTAAAGGGAACAGCCTCCTGTTAAAAATCCTTCTCTGTTTTTATCCAGGTGTAAGCCAAGGCCAAGTTCGGGCAAGGACCATTAGTCGACTAGTGGTTGATTTGTGACGTACCTTACGCCTGCGCACTAATAGCAACGTGCGAACGTCTCTAGTCAAACGCTGGTCAAAGTGTCATCGCAAAACTTCTGGATCCTGGCTCTCTGATAGCGTTATGAATGCGCGCGGCTATTGGTTACCAGCGAAGCAACCAACCCCAGTAGGCTGGTTCCAAATAGTTGACTAGCGTAGTCAACCACCGTCGACTAGACAGAGTTCGGGCAAACGTTAGTTAACCATTGGTCAACTATAGTCCTTGCGCGAACTTGGCCCAACATGGCAAGGTGCTTGGGATTTGAGGCCAAATGAACGGGTATACAGAATAACGGATAAACTCAAACAAATGTGGTGGCAGCTCTCTGAAAATGGACAGTACTACCTATTTTCTTAGATTAAGAGGTGTGGATTTATGTTCTTTATGAGTTATCTGAGTCATAAATTGAAAGGAAGCACGTAGTGTTGTTTTGAAGTCCAACACAAGTCCCATGACAAGTTCCATGTCCCGTTACAAGTAACAGGGGATGGATAATGAAGGAATGGGTTTGTGACAGTTCCGTTTAAATTACGTTACGGACTTGTGATGAACTTGTGATGGACTTGTGATGGACTTGTTACAGACTTGTGATGGACTTGTTACAGACTTGTGATGGACTTGTGACGAGCTTGTGACGGACTTGTGATTGACTTGTGACGGACTTGGGATGGACTTGTGATGGACTTGTTACAGACTTGTGATGGACTTGTTACAGACTTGTGACAGACTTGTGACAGACTTGTGATGGACTTGTGATGGACTTGTTACAGACTTGTGATGGACTTGTTACAGACTTGTGATGGACTTGTTACAGACTTGTGACAGACTTGTGACAGACTTGTGATGGACTTGTGATGGACTTGTGATGGACTTGTGACGGACTTGTGACGGACTTGTGATGGACATGGGATGGACATGTAATGGAGTGTACTATAACACTATCTTAGATTAGGGAGAGGTGTACCTTTACATTCTTAGATTATTTCAATCATAAGTTGAAGGAAACCTTCAGGTAGGAAGTGACTTCAGAGTGTGAGGCTGATAAAAACCTCATCTTACCAGTGGTGGACTCCTCTGTCGTAGGTGCTGGCTCGGTTGTAGGAGCTGGTTTAGTCGTCGGAACCTCAGGCTCTGTTGTCGGTGCCTCCTCAGTGCCACACGGCACGAAGACACTCACACAGCACTGGAAGCGTACGGCGTAATCGTAGCACTCGTAGGGCTGGCGGCGATTGTTGGCGAAGTCCAGACAGAGGAATCCGACGTTGGGAAGACAGGTGTAGTTCTGGCCTGTCTGGTGAGCGCTGACACTGTGATCGGAGCTCAAGACGCACTCCACCTCCGTCGGATTCTCGCAGAGCTCTCCCGGATGGGCATCCAGGAGGTCTCCCAGGACCTCAAAGTCGCCGTGGGGACTGTCGCTGTCGTCGTAGTAACGGGTCCACTTGCAGTACTGCTCGTAATGAGGAACGCAAGCTGGAGGTTAAAAAAACAAACAATTGGGAATGAATTTGTAGAAGATGGATGCAGAGACTTTCAGGCGAGAACCATTTTTAAAAGTATTTCTTTCCTTTCATTTTTGGAGGCCAGCTGAACATCTTTGCAGTCGCCAAGATGTATTTCTCCAGGACATCAACAGCATCAACAGTGAAAGCCACTTACACGAGCTTGCCTTTTGTCCAAACAAGTGTTGTATTTGTTTGCCACAGGCAACACCACACAATGATTGTTTGCGATTTCGTTTTCGTTTTGTGGAGTTAAACTAATGCTTACTTCTGCTTTGTTTCTTCTTTGCCTTTTTAAGTACTTTTCTCACACACCTGTGGTTGGTAGTTCTACGGTTGTGGATTCCTCTGTAGTGGCAGGCGGTGGAGTTGACTTAACCGTTGTGCTTCCAAATAAAGTGGTTGACTCAACCATTGTTGTGGACTCGGGCGGCTCAACTGTTGTGGACGGGGACTCGGTGGATCCACAGATGACATACTCCTCTTCGCAGCACTGGACCCGGATGGCAAAGTCCAGACACGTCTGGTCTTCGTCGTCGTAGCAAGCCAGACCCAGGTCCTTGGTGCACTGGACGTCTTGGGTAGTCATGTAAGACGGCACGCTGTGGTCTCGGGCCAGGACGCACTCTATGGCTTCAGGCTCCGCACAGACTCCCGGGTACTGCTCGTTGTTCAAGAAGTCAGCGATGAACTCAAACTCGTAGGATTGGTCGTTGGTCTGGCCGTTTTCGTCATCCAGATAGGCGCTCCATTTGCAGACCGTCTGGTGGCCTGGAATACATTCTGCGGAACAAATTTCAAAGACCATAAAAAGGTAAGAATTACTTACTTAAAAAAGGTAAGATTACTTTTCCAAGTATGTAGGCTGTTTTATATTTTGTCTTAATAATATATTTTGTTTGTCACACAATCTTATAGACTGAGGTCCAATCAATTAATATCGGAAGACCAATTTATGATCACACTGTTCAGAGACAAAGCTCCTTAATATAAACACATACAATCCAGACTTGGCACAAACATTACACAATGTTTTTGTTCTAGAGTAAAATAAAATTACTTCCATTGCTTACCGGTTGTGGTTGGTTCTACAACTGTAGTAGATTCAACGACTTCTGGAGTGGTTGACTGCTCAGTGGTGCTGACAACTGTTGTAACAACTGTCGTGGGTGCCTGCGTTGATTCCACAGTGGTCACTTCAGAAGTTGTTGATTCTGGAGGTGTGGATTCAACAGTCGTAGATTCTGGAGGAGTGGATTCTACTGTTGTTGACGGTGGAGGTGTGGACTCCACAGTTGTGGACTCTGGAGAAGTTGACTCCACAGTAGTGGATTCTGGAGGAGTTGATTCCACAGTCGTAGGAGCTGGTGGTGTGGATTCTACTGTTGTGGGTTGTGGAGGAGTTGACTCCACAGTAGTGAATTCTGGAGGAGTTGATTCCACAGTCGTAGGAGCTGGTGGTGTGGATTCTACTGTTGTGGGTTGTGGAGGAGTTGACTCCACAGTAGTGAATTCTGGAGGAGTTGATTCCACAGTCGTAGGAGCTGGTGGTGTGGATTCTACTGTTGTGGGTTGTGGAGGTGTAGACTCCACAGTTGTGGGAGCAGGTGGCGTTGACTCGACAGTAGTTGATGCTGGAGGTGTGGACTCTACTGTTGTCGACTCTGGAGGAGTTGATTCAACAGTTGTGGATTCTGGAGGGGTAGACTCCACAGTAGTGGATGCAGGAGGGGTTGACTCAGCAGTTGTAGGAGCTGGGGGAGTTTCTATAACAGTAGTAGGAGCAGGAGGGGTCGATTCTGCGGTTGTGGGTCGTGGAGGTGTTGACTCTACAGTAGTGGGAGCTGGAGGAGTAGACTCAACTGTTGTGGATGGTGGAGGAGTGGATTCCACAGTGGTAGACTCTGGAGGAGTTGATTCGACAGTTGTTGATTCTGGTGGAGTTGATTCCACAGTTGTAGGAGCTGGAGGAGTTGATTCAACAGTAGTGGGAGCTGGAGGAGTGGACTCTGCTGTAGTGGGTTGTGGAGGTGTGGATTCTGCTGTTGTGGGTCGTGGAGGAGTTGACTCAACAGTAGTCAATGCTGGAGGAGTGGACTCCACTGTAGTGGATTCTGGAGGAGTGGATTCCACAGTTGTAGACTCCGGAGGAGTTGATTCTACTGTTGTGGATTCTGCAGGAGTTGATTCTACAGTTGTAGGAGCTGGAGGAGTGGATTCTGCTGTGGTGGGTCGTGGAGGTGTGGATTCTGCTGTTGTGGGTCGCGGAGGAGTTGACTCAATAGTAGTGGATGCTGGAGGAGTAGACTCCACTGTAGTAGATTCTGGAGGAGTTGATTCAACAGTTGTGGATTCTGGAGGGGTAGACTCCACAGTAGTGGATGCAGGAGGGGTTGACTCAGCAGTTGTAGGAGCTGGGGGAGTTTCTATAACAGTAGTAGGAGCAGGAGGGGTTGATTCTGCTGTTGTGGGTCGCGGAGGAGTTGACTCAACAGTTGTGGATTCTGGAGGAGTTGACTCAATAGTTGTGGATGCAGCAGGGGTTGACTCGGCAGTTGTAGGAGCTGGAGGGGTGGATTCTGCGGTAGTGGGTCGTGGAGGTGTGGATTCTGCTGTCGTTGGTTGAGGAGGAGTTGACTCAACAGTTGAGGATTCTGGAGGGGTGGACTCGACAGTAGTTGACGCAGAAGGAGTTGATTCAGCCGTAGTAGGAGCTGGAGGGGTGGATTCTGCTGTCGTAGGTCGAGGAGGAGTTGTGGATGGTGGAAAAGTGGATTCGACTGTAGTAGAAGCTGGCTGAGTGGATTCAGCAGTTGTTGGTTGATGTGGTTGTGTGGTAGGACCTGGTAGTGTGGATTTCTCTGTTGTGGTTTCTGGTGGTGGTGGAGTAGATTCGACAGTTGTGGGTTGGACAGGCTCGGTGGTATAAACAACAGTCGTCCTGGCACGTGTCGTGGGGAGAACAGTGGCTGCCAATTAGAAAAGAACAAGACCAAGGTAAATGATGGTATCCAAAAACAGCTCTTACTTGAGGTACTTTACACAAAATAAGCTTTTTAGCTGTGAATGAGTTTTAATATCAAGACACAGGCTTGAAGTTTATTAAGCACTCGTGCAAAAATAAGGTGTACGTGTTCTACACAACCGGCAAAAACCAATACACAAAGGGAAAGCAACGATCCTTTCAGTCCTCGGGAGTTGGGTCTTTTGTTGGAAACGGTCCTCTGTAGTAAGTTTGTGTGCTCAGCTTATTGGAAAGTGTTATATTACAGGGACAAGGGGAAACACAAAGCATTGTCCTCTGGAGTATAGTAAAACATGACTGCGTGTGCTTGCTGAGTCTCTGATTTCTTGTGAGCTTGGCCAATTCAACCTTAAAGATGAAAAAATCATCACGAAACTCAGCAACCAATAAAGTCTCTTAAACTGTCAGATTGTTGCTTTCCCTCACTCAGAGAGGCCATGATTTCGGTTTATTGTTTCAGGATCGTTGATCAAATTAAAAAAAAGTTGGAGGGTCCCAAACAAAGGTCCTGCTAATATTTTTGATCAGCTTTGTAATTATCACAGCTTGGGAAATCTAAATCCTGAGAGATCAAGTCCAGAGCTCTATACTTACGACAGGGTATACAGGTTCCGTTGCCATTGTCCATGGTCCCCTCGTCACAGAAGCAGCCAGACACCGGTTCCATGTCGCACAGTTGCGGTTCCTTATCCCAGGGGTAGCAGCTGGTGTAGATGTCGTCTGGGCAGGCACACTCTCGGTAGTGTGTCTCATCAGTCGTGCAGTCGTAAGCTGTCGAAAAAGAGATCAAGTTTCTAATGTAAATTTTGAGTTTATGTAGGTTTCCCTTCGCCGACTTTTTTTATTAAAAAACACTGTATGCACTGTTTACGGGCCTGTGTGGTCTAGCGGTGGAGCACAGGATCCATGATCATTAGATTGTGGGTTCAAGCCCCGACGTGGCTGTGCATGTCGTGCCCTTGAGTAAGGCACTTTACCTCAATTACACCGCCCAACCCAGGTGTTAAACGGGTACCGGCATTATTCAATGCTGGGAAGGTAACAGACTCGCTGTGGAGGAGGTGTGGCAATCCCCACAGCAGCGTGTGATTTCTTGTCCAATTGCCTCGAAAGAGAGATGGGCACTCTGTTCCTGTTAACACAGGTTTGCCCCCTTTACAGTGTTGTCCGAGGACTTGCGAGAAAAAAACAAACAAGCTTAATTGGGTGGGACTCGAACCCATGACCTCCTGCTCATAGCGCAGATGTCTTATCACTCAACCACTGAGCTTGCCCTTTTTTCCCTTCTATTTATTTTAGAATCAAACGTTATACAAGTTGCAAATAGTATCATTTATTTACAGACTCAAAGAAATATGACGAACGGCAAACTTACGACAGAAGTCGTCCTCCCGCCAGTCGATACAGATACCCATCGCCGAGCACTCTGCGACATAAGCCTCGAAATCCCAACACGTCGGCTTATCGCCGTAACAGTTGTTGTACAGACAGTTCTTGTAGAAGTCGTGCGGGTCAAGGACGTCGTGACATTCACTAAACATGTCCTCATATAGTTTGTCGCACCTGCAGAAGGAAAAGTAAAAATAGAATATATTCAATTTTACATCAGTTTAGTGAGGTTGGCAGAAGGGGTGTGCATTTACAGGTAGAGTGGAAAGTCGCTATACTGAACACCGCTATACTGAACACCGCTATACTGAACACCGCTATACTGAACACCGCTATACTGAACACCGCTATACTGAACACCGCTATACTGAACACCGCTATACTGAACACCGCTACACTGAACACCGCTACACTGAACACCGCTACACTGAACACCGCTATACTGAACACCGCTATACTGAACACCGCTATTCTGAACACCGCTATTCTGAACACCGCTATACTGAACTCCGCTATACTGAACACCGCTATACTGAACACCGCTATACTGAACACCGCTATACTGAACACCGCTATACTGAACTCCGCTATACTGAACAGTGCTATACTGAACACCGCTATACTGAACACCGCTATACTGAACTCCGCTATACTGAACACCGCTATACTGAACACCGCTATACTGAACACCGCTATACTGAACAGTGCTATACTGAACACCGCTATACTGAACACCGCTATACTGAACACCGCTATACTGAACACCGCTATACTGAACATTCGGCTATACTGAACATTCTGCTATACCGATCATCGCCCTTGGCTCCTGATTTTTGTGTACAAAACGTACCACAAATTGTCAACAGAAGAGCGACAAGTGGCTATTATTTCCCCAAGGAATAGAAGGGGGAAGCCACTCATTGCTGTAGGTAGTAAGCTAGAAAAAACTGTGTAATTACATAATTCAATAGTCGACACGTGTTCAATAGTCGACACGATGTTTGTTATAGCGGTGTTCCACTGTAGTACAGCAATTGACTCAAAAGCAGTGAATCTACAACTAAGACCCAATCCGAAACGGACATTTTGTCAGTGGCTACAGCCACGGCTACAGACATCACGTGAGGATCTTGATGGCCCGTGGTTGAGCGTTCGATTAGCCCAGCTGTCATGGCTAACCCGTCTGCCTTTACCCGAGTCGATCCGGGTGAGCTACTCAAACGCACCCATTGTTATTTGCAATAATTTTGACTCGCCAGGCCGACTACTTAGAGAATGGTTTTGACTAGTCCGCCGCTGTTTTTACTCGCATATGGCGAGTGGACTACCGCTAAGGTCGAACCCTGCGTGTAACAGGGAATTTCACTCGTACCACTCAATGACATCGGGGCCAGGGACGCATTCTGTCGGCTCGACATCACAGCCGCAATCGGCGGGTGTGGACGGCGGAGCCAGCCAATCACAACAGGTGCCCGTCTCCTCACAGGTGGGTAGAGGATTACCGCAGTTTCCTGAATAAAAAAAAAAGAAGAGAATAAAAACCAATCCATGGGGTGCTGTGGTCCGATGGTTACAGTGTTTGACTCATGTGCCGTGGTGCATGGGTTCGAATCCTGACCATGGGAACATGGTGCTTGTGCTCTTGAGCAAGACACTTTATTGCTTCCTCCTTTGGATGGGACGTAAAGCCGTGTTGTGTAAAGCATGTTAAAGAACCCAGTAACACTTATCGCTAAGAGAAGGGGTTATCAAGACTGACCAATATCACCCACGAACTGGTCAGTAGCTACATCTAGGCCAACTCCTAAAATCTACCACCGATAAATGGGGGTAACTAGTGCACATCCGCGACTTCTGCAGGCAATTACGGTCCATTTTCAGTCCCATACACACTACACACAACAAAAGAGCTGACCAGTGAAGTTGCACAAAAGTCTTGCTGCATCTTTTAACCTACTGGAAGAAATTTGAGAGTTTGCTTCGGAACTACTATGGATTTTTTGAATTGCGCACTGCATATATTAGGCCAAACAGGTGCGCGCGCATCACATAACCAATAAGAATTGGCCTAGATGTTGTTCCAACAGGTTCGTGGGTGATATTGGTTGGCCGTGATAGCGCCCTCTTATGGCAGCGGGTTATCGCGGCGGCGGGTTATATTTTCAGGATTTCAGGCCAGAATGCTCCTTTAAATGTTTTGGTTGCCCAGCAGTTATTACCTGTCGGTATGACGTCACTGGGCACATGGTCTTTAACCCCATGAGCTCGGGAAGCGGTCATGGCCGCGGCCGCTAATCCTCATTGGAATGCAGTTGCCAGCTGTGGTATGCCGTGGCACACGGCTAGTGGGTAGTTCCACAGCTGCTGCTTTTGTGCAGTCCCGCTACCACACAAAGGCTGTGCAGTCATGCGGGCCACTTGCTCTATGTGTGGAGGAATGTCCCCATTATAACCCGTGCTTAAGGGGTTAATCAAGATGTCAACAATTTGAAAACTGACATGTCAAGCAAGTGCTTGATGGTGCATAGTACTGTGAATTGACGGCATAAACTCACCACAAAGACCCTCCGTGCTGTTGTAGTAGATGGCCTGAGGAATCTCCACCTTGAAGTAGTGCAGATCCATGGGAAGGTAACGGACCTGCAAGGCGATGCTTGGAGCATAAAACAACATGTACAGTCCGGCCTCGGTGACCGTGAAGGAGTCGTAGGTTTCGATGGGTAGAGTGTGGGTGGTGCCATCAATGACGACTTGATATTCCTGAAATTGGAAAAAAGACAGATTGGAAAATTTCTCCCTGAGTGGTTGGAACAAAACTTGGCACGGATTGATTATGGCACTAACTACATTATGGACACTACATCGGCGAAACGAAGCATCGTTTGACTGACCGATATACTGAGCACCTTCGAAGTGTCCAACTCAATCTCCCCGGACACCCTGTGGCGCACCCATTCTCCAAGCCACCACACACGTGTGACAACATGCGTGAACGCCCAGCTCTTGGAGATGGAACAATGCATCATCTACAAGCTTGGAACGCTCACGCCAGGCGGTTTGAATGTGGATTTTTCCGCATTCAAACAGTCATAGCTCCAATAAAAGCTCAGCGGGGCCGAAAATTCAGCCAGAATAATTCCCGGTGAGTACTGCTTTAACTTTTGTTTTCATAACTTATACATACATACATACACACAGAAGGAATACGCTATCGCAATATCCCCCTCCGGCTTACAGCCAGGGGGATAAAAAACCCAAAAGTGTGCCAATCAGTGATTAACACCGACTGGTAACATGACCTACCCATGTCTTTATGAAACCTACCCCTTGATCGTTCCTCTCAGCCAACATCCTGATCCGGTGGCCATCATACAGGATCTCTATCTCCCTGGGGCAGGTGGTTCCTGGGAACAGACCACACTCAATGTTGTGTATGAGGATCACGAATCGTGGCGGCTCCTGAGTATCCTTGGCTAAGACGTAGGTGCAGAGGCCTTGGTCGTCAAACTCTACGTTGTTGAAGTCAAAGTAGTGAGGATCGCCGTAGCCCCAGCATTCGCCTGAAGAGAATGGTTGTCACAATATGTGATTAATTTATAAATCAGGTATTGATCATTGTAACAATCATGTTTGTAAAAGACTTCCACGCAATCCCAAAAACTAACAACCCCCGAGAAACGTTGTTCCCTCTTCAGAAAAAAATTCACAAGCCGTGAGAATTTTCCTCATGCTTTGGCCCTTTTCACAATGTGCTAAAAACACACACGAAGCTTGAGAAATTCTGTTTCATTGTAAGTGGGGTCAGGGAACCAGACTGCAGGAACATGATTCTTTTTCTTGGTTTTTCCAGCATCTACAAACACAAAACTTGAAACTAGTCAGTGTCACAATATTTGCTATAAAGTACTGACCCCAGAATCCATCCATTTTGAAAATTACAACAAAAGCAAATGTTGTATATTCCATTACGTGAATCTCCCATTTGAGCTAGACCCGAGTTTGCCTATGACAAACTCGGGTCGTACCTACCGATTTCAGATTCAGCAGCTTTCAACGCGATCTCTCTTATCTGATCAAGAGTTAACGAGCCGTGAACAGGTGGTGTATGGTGCCTCTGCCTGTGAGCTTACTGACAAAAAATATCTACCAAAGTCTACTAGGTTCTTGTTTATAATGTAAAGTATTTGGAAAAGTGTCACAAGTTATTATGTGAGCAACTTTGAATCATAAAAATCGATCAAATATATCTCGAGATATCAAATAAGAAACAGTCCGACTTCAGCCATGCTCTTCAAGGTTTCCGTTATTTGACACCACCAGCTCATGGTCACTGGCCCTGGGGAAGTGGGTGCCAGGGTAAGTGTTTATCTTATAATTACTTTACTGATAACAGCTGATAAGAGTCACAGTGAAATCGGTAGGTACAGTTCAGGGGTTTTGGCAAATGGGAGTTTCACGTAATGCCCCTTAAAATTTGATAAAAAAAGGGTTCTTACATATTTGTGGTGGTGGGGGTGGTGGCGGTGGTGTCTCGGAAATAGTTGTAGGTGGTACAGTGGTCGGTGGTAGCTGGACGTCAGAGAAAAACAAAACCCAAATGTTGTTAAGAACACAGCATGCACTAAAAGGTCCTAGGTGAAAACAATTTGGGCAAGATTTTTAGATGGACAGAAACATTTCATTATAACTGAAATATTATGGTTTATATAACCGACATACAGATCCTTGTCATTTGATTGGTGGAACACACATCATGTGAAATTCGTTATTGCTCCCATTCACGCCGCGGCTCAAAAAGTACTATCCGCCCATGGGGAATGGGAAATACTATTCAACAGTTAGGATCATCCTTGTTCCATGACGCGGTATTTGTGTGCAAATACATGCTGGTGTGCACGTTCAGCGTTGCGCATATTGTTCCAAAGAGCCGGCGCTACAGCGTTGGCTTCAAACATTTTCGTGAAAGGGTGGTTTGGAAGAGAGAAATACATTTTTTTCCAGTTTTGTATTGAAATAAAAGTTCAAATATATCAAATGACAAGGATCTATATGTCAGTTATATAACACAAATATTGAGTGGCTTTAAATTGTGAAATGGGAGGAATGTTATCGCTCGGTAAAATCTGGACTTTTCCAGTTCACTCGGCAAAGTCCAGATTTTACCTTGCAATAATATTCCTCCCATTCCACGCTGAGCCACTCAATATTTGTATATCAAATTACCAAAATGCAAATGGGCAATTCCACGCAAAAGTGGACACAGCTGAAAAGTGGAAACTTTATGAAATTTTCAGAACTACAGGCATTACAGCCTCAAATGTGGTATCAAATTAAAAGGGGAGGACAAGACCTATCATTTGAGTGGCGTGCCAGTGAGGTGAAATACGGTCAAATGTTTGTGTCAAAACTGATCAACAGGGAGTCCCTGCCAGGCTGGTGCAGAGGTTACTTTCCTCGCCCTGGTCCACATGTGGATTGGGTTTTCAGTCCCTACCTGATTCCGTGGGTTTCCCCAGAATATTCTTCTGGGGTTCTCCTTCCACCTCTAAAAATGTATTTCTTCTCACTGTCTTCTGTCTACAGGTTTCTTCAGGCTTGTGAGCTACAGTGCCTAGGGCACTTTTTAGGAATCCTTAGTTTCATTACCAGAAAGATATCAATAAAAAAAAAAACTGTTAAAGAGTTTGTTTAAGGGACATGTGTGGTCTTGCAGTACAGCAAAGGATTCATGATCCTGAGATTGTGGGTTCGAGCCCCGCCGTGGCCATACGTGTTGTGCCCTTGAGCAAGGCGCTTTACCTCAATTACGCCTCTCAACCCAGGTGTTAAATGGGTACCGGCATAACTCAATGCTGGGAAGGTAACAGACTCGCTGTGGAGGAGGTGTGGCGATCCCCCCACAGCAGTATTTCATGGACTTGAGTCTGGCCCAATCACTTTGAAAGAGAGATGGGCACTCTGTTCCTTTGAGCACAGGTTCGTCCACTTTACCTTTTCTTTTAACTGTTAAAGAACCACGGACAGGGCTGGGAGATTTTGGGCTTAAAACCGTTCATAGGTAATCGACAAAGGTAGACTCGTTACCACTGTGGTAGGCGATGGGCATTCCTCCACGCATTCGTCGTTGTGTAAGTAAGTACCCGGCGGGCATGCGCAGCCATCCACACAGGTGTCCACACAGACGCCGTCAGGGAGGACAAACGGCTGATTCTCACACGACGACTCACAGACTGGGATGCAAGGCTCGTAGGTGAGGCATCCCTCGCACTGGATGGCTGGTGGAGAAAAGGTGTGAGAGAGACTTAGAATGACATCAGTAACCACCCTCAATGTCCTGAATCCACCTGTTTTTACAGTATTGTGGAGTCGGGTGTCTTGCTGGGCAACTCTCAGACGCGGATGCAGGGTTCATAGGTAAGGCATCCCTCGAACTCAACGGCCGGAGGTACAGAAATTTCAAACTGCCTTTAAATCAGGTTTTGGCCTTGACCAATGTAATAAGCACTGTACTGGGCGAGTAAATAAAAACAAAACCCAAATGTTGGGACTATTATTTTAGTTAAGTTCTGCATGTAGCACCTTTAAAATCTAGGATATGAAAGCCCAATTCATACGCTTTCTTTTAGTACAAGAATAATCCAAATCACTCATGTACTTTGCGGCGTTGCTGAGTTTTAAACACAACCATCGTTTTAAAGTTCTGTCCACAGATCACAAAAAAGGTGTGCATTCTTTCAGCTCAGCTAAGCGAAAACAATTCACACATATCCCTTATGAATTGGGCTTTCATATCCTAGATTTTGAAAGTGCTACATGCAGAACTTCACTAAAACAATGGTCCTGACATTTGAATTTCATTTTTTTTTTTACCCACCCTGTATACTCGGTGCTGTCAAAGAATTTGTGAGAACATTTTGTTCACTAACTTGCTGGAGTGGGAGTCCAACCCACAATCTCCTGCTTATTAGTGCGACGTGTTAAAACACTAGACCACCGATCTTACGGTGGTCGGCTAGCTGGCTCTGCTAACCACAGAATTCCGCATTTACGATCACCATTCTGTGCTAACAGCGCTAGCAGAACAATTCTGTGCTAACCCTGTAGCACAGAATCCTTAGTTTCTGGATGTACACATGCGCAGAAGCCAAAACTCCTCGCTGACCCGTAAAGTACGCTAACCAGCCGTAATTTCTGCTACAGTAAGCAGGGATTGTTCGCTAACGGTAAGCAGGTTTGAATGTAACATAGCAAAGTAGGACTGAACTAGGATAAGAGAGCCCAACTTGGTACTTACGACAGAGTTCCTGGGTCCGCCATTTGATGGGCACCCCTTGCTGGTTACACATCTGCGCGTAGGTCGCGATGGCCGTGCACATGCACTCACAGTCGCCGCCGGAATCGCAGCCACAGGTATCAAAGACACAGTTGTTGAAGTAATCGGCGGGTGGGACGAACTTGTGACACGGCTCAAAGAGCACGGAGTTGATGATGCCGCATTGCTTCTGAGCCCAAGTCTTGCGGTGGGGGTTTTCTACACAAGGGTCTGTGATGGGCGGCGGCTTGCCACAGTAATCATGCACCTACAAGAAGGGGAACACAGTAACTATATTAGCCTCCGAGGAAGGAATATAACAACTATTACCCTCTAAGGCAGTCAATAGCTAAGACATAACTGCCCTCTATGGGGAGTCTTGCGGTGGGAGTTCTCTACACAAGGGTCTGTGATGGGCGGTGGCTTGCCACAGTAATCATGCACTTACAAGAAGGGGAACACAGTAACTATTACCCTCTAAGGAAGGGAATGTAACAACTATAGGCAGTCAATAGCTAAGAAATATTGCCTGCTATGGGGATTTTTGCCGTGGGGTTCTCTACGCAAGGGTCTGTGATGGGCGGCGGCTTGCCACAGTAATCATGCACCTATAGGAAGGGGTACACAGTAAGTATTATGCTCTAAGGAAGGGAATATAACAACTATAACCCTCTCAGGCAGTCAATAGCTAAGACATATTGCCCTCTATGGGGATTTTTGCGGTAAGGGTTCTCTACACAAGGGTCTGTGATGGGGGGCGGCTTGCCACAGTAATCATGCACCTACAGGAAGGGGAACACAGTAACTATTACCCTCTAAGGAAGGGAATATAACAACTATTACCCTCTAAGGCAGTCAATAGCTGTGACATATTGTCCTCTATGGGGATTTCATGACTGAATTCTAAATAGCTGGGTATATGTTCCTTTGCAGCAATTTCTAGAAATCCAGTCTTCTTTATAAGTTGTTATATAACCCTTTCAGGTAGTCAATAGTTTTTATATTTACCTTCCAGCTGTTGCCAAAGTCATTAGGATCAATGAGAGGTATACCGCCCCCTGGTGGCAAGAAGTCATCCTCCTGGATGTCATTGTAGTTACCGCAGAGACCAGCAACCTACAGAAAAAATACAATCACACAACCATGTTGATATTCCTCCTCCGATACTATTTGCCTATGGTGAGCTGAAATAGTGACCATCATGATGGAATTTGTTTCACTTTCACATGAACTGACCCGAGAGCTGGACATTGAGTCAATACAGAACACCGTATAGAGCCTTTGCATTGCAGCCATCTTGGAGGTGCCTTCTTATTTTCCACAGGGATACGCAAGGGTAGACCTACTACGCATTCATTGTCACTGACTTAAAAGGTAGAGTACATCATTTGTCATTTGTGAATTGTTTTCGTTTGAAGCAACAAAAGTGCTCAAAATCTAAAGACGGGTGCTTAACAACTAACCCGTTGAAGTTTTAGCTCAGTGAATGCTGTATATTCCAAGAAAACAATATTCTAGGATCTTCATTTCAATCTAAAAGTTCCAGAGTCATGTTTTGAATTGTGCCCGAAATCAATGTCCGGGACACGTTCTCATTCAGTCGATTGCAGCTACGCGATGTCAATCACTGAACCGATGAATTGTAGCAACCACGCACACGCGTGCGTGGTGTCAACACTTGCATGCACCAAGAATTAAAATGAATTAAAAACGAATTACTAATGGAAATTTCCAAAAATGCGTCTTTAGACGCATATCTTTGGAAATGACCTTCTTTTAGTGTTTTCTTCCAAATGACAGCATGCCTGAAAGAATAAATTCACAGGGAGTTTAGTGCCATTACTATCTTTAAACCAAGTAACCTTTTCAACAATAATTTTGTCAGTTACTTTGTGGATAGCTGCAAATGATGTACTCTACTTTAACATATTACAAATAACAACCCGAACATCTTCAAGATGGCTGCTAAATGCAAAAGCTCTACACAAAAGCTCACCCTGTTGAAATGCTCCGGTGTGACTTTGACTTCAATCCTGGTGGCTCGATCCCACATCAGAGTGACACCGATGTTGGTGTGCACAAAGATGTACAAGCCCGACTCGGTGATGGTGAATTCGCTCAGGCCTCCGATACCGGTATCCACCTCGATCGGTTTCCCTCGGACCAGCATGACCTTCTCCTGTTCAGCGCCAGTTCCTGTCAAGAAAGGCAAAAAATGTTGGTAACCGGATCTAGCGTGGTCTAGCGGTAGAGCACAGGCCTCGTGATCGTGAGATAGTGGGTTCAAGCCCCGCCGTGGCCATGCGTGTTGTGCCCTTGAGTAAGGCACTTTACCTCAATTACTCCTCTCAACCCAGGTGTTAAATGGGTACCGGCATTATTCAATGCTGGGAAGGTAACAGACTCGCTGTGGAGGAGGTGTGGCGATCCTCACACAGCAGCATTACATGGTCTCGAGTCTGACCCACTCGCTTCGAAAGAGAGATGGGCACTCCGTTCCTGTGAACACAGGTTCGTCCCCTTTTTTTTTATAGCTTGTACCCTTCCAGAGACTACAAAATCCACTAGGAGATTCGGAAAAAGTTGCAGATTGGAGAAAGTTGCTAGAAGGATGTTGGTGACCATGGGCCGAATTTCACAAAACGCTAAAACGCGTCTTAGGAAGGGTAACTCATCTTAACTCGTGACTCGTCCTAGGATCGAATTCATCAAACTTAAGACGCATTCAACACATTTTAACTGTAGCAACACCGCTGAACTCGTCTTAATTTAAGATCAGTCTGAGGGTCGTCTTTTCTCATTAATGCGTGTGTTAATTTGTATTTCGTCTGGAATGGATTTAGTAAAATCGGTCTTAGGACACGTTTTTATAGCTAAGATCGATATTAGAGTGGGGACTCATGTTAAGAACTCAGATGAGTCGTAAGATCAGACAACTTTCTTGAAAACGGTTGCAGGACGCAGTCACCCGTAGGCCCAGGAAACATAAAATGACATACCTATGGCCATAGTGATGGCTTTGGTGCATGTTACTCCTCCGGATCCACAAGGCACGTTACCCACAAGGATGTGGAATTGCTTGACCTCAGGATAGTGGCTGTTGGTGACCAGGACGTAGTCACATTCCCCTTGGAAGCTATACTTCTTGGCATCGAACGTCTGGTAGTGGGGATCACCCCATGCAATACAGGTTCCTATGGTGGCCACGGCAAAAGAAAATTGCGTTATGGATTATTGTGCACTTGTAATGCATAAATAAATGCCCAGTCCCAGGTGCCTATGATGGCCAAAAAAAACACATTGTGTTGTGGATTATTGTGCACTTGTAATGCATAATAACGTCTGATCCCAGGTCCCTATGATGGCCACGATAAAAGAAAATTGTGTTACTGGTATTTTTAAAGTTGCACTAATAACGGGCATGTGGCAGTGGGGATCAACCATTCCGCACAAGTCCCTATAATGGCCATTACAAAAGAAAGTTGTGTCATGGGTATTCTAAATTTTCAAACCCATTTATCTGCATGGGGCTAGTTAAAAAGAAATTTATGTTATTGCTAAAAACTGCAATGTTTAGAAATTGATTGAAAATTAATAACGGATTATTTTTTTCACGTCTTACCTTCGCAATACTCATTCTTGCATGTCACCTTACCATCCTTGCATGTACTGAAAAAAAATTAAATTTTTTTTATTTACGTCATCTTTAATGAGGGTTAACTTCGATCATATTGCAGCCACTGCCAGAAACACCGAGGCAAACCCCTTCTCTTAGCGACAAGTGCTACTGGGTTCTTTAACGTGCATTACACAACACATGGGACCTACGGCTTTACGTCCCATCCGAAGGACGAAGCAATAATGGTAAAGTGCCTTGCTCAAGAGCACAAGCACCATGTTCCCGCGGTCAGGATTCGAACCCATGTACCACGGCACACGAGTCGAACACCATAACCACTGGACCACAGCACCCCAAGAAAACACTGCTTTACTAAAAACAATAATTTTCTGGCAGTCTTTCTCAAAGGCAAAGTCAGAAAATATCCTTCGACAAAAATTATGCTAGGATTGAAAACATCAAGTCCTCCGACTTTTTCAACATTTCTGTTAACACTTACCATACGTGGCACCCTACACGCCTGACCTCGTTCGGTTCGTACACGTCTCCTCTGTAATAGCACTGACAGTCCGAGATTGGAATACACTCCCCGTTATCGAGCACGTAGCCAGTATCGCACTCGCAGCCACGTAGGCACGGCCCTTCGCACACCGGCGGGTCGTGGAAGTTAGCACAGGTGGGCTGGCATTCTGCGGGGACGGTGCACTCACTGTAGAACTGGTTCTCTGGGCAGGTGAAGGACGGGCAGGTGACGTGGTCACATTGCCAGATGCCTCCTCCACAAATGCTGCACGACAACGAAAACAAGTAAAAGTTTCATACGTTTCCAGTCATTCTATAAATTTGGAGTGCCCTTTTTTCCCTGTCCCTGTTATATCTGATATCTATGAGTTTATAAGATGTAATTTTTGCGTCGGGGTGATACAAATCAAATTAGGTTTTGCCCTTCACTGACGTTTACATCTTATAGTGATTTATGCAGTACCCGCTGCTAGTACATCAGATTCGAACCAGCCAACAGATGCTGTTAGCTCGGTGGTCGAGTGGTAAGACATCTGCACTAGAAAGCAGGAGGTCGTGGGTTCGAGTCCCACCCGAGTGATTTTTTCCAACTTTCACTCGGGAGGTAACACACTGAGTATACAGTGATTAAACGTTGGTGAAGGGCAAAACCTAGTTTGATCTATGATTTTATAATTCTGATAACTCCTTAATTAATGCAGTTGTCCTTCAAGAATAATTATGAATAGACCTTTATATTCATGAGGAAGCCATTTTCGATCGTGTTCCCTGAATTCATTTTGTAAATTGTAAACTGTTGAATGGGATGGCGCCAGACTAGTTTAGGATTGGAGTGTGTCCCAAACCTCACTTTCATTTTTTTTTAAATGCGGCTTCAAACATTAGGCTATGTTCAATCACAAATTATTCATCAGAGCAGACTGGTATTAATTTATAATGAAGTTATATTTCATTGCTTTCATTTCTACTTGCAAGTTCCAACAAGGGGTCCGCAAACCGCAATGTGTCCCCTTTTTCCGCGGTCCATCTCTATATGTTTTGTGTTCTTAAAAAAAGTCAAACGACCTCTAATGACCCCTTGATGACCTTTGACCTCCAATTTCGAGGAAGAGTCGTGATGAACCCCATCCAAGGATTACTCCATCCAAGTTAAATTAAAATCCATCAAATTCGGTAGACAAAGAAACATTTGAAACAATGACCTCTAATGACCTCTACATGACCTTTGACCTCAGTAACCCGATGAAGAATTGTGTCTTCCCACCCAAGGGTCACTGCATCCAAGTTTCATCAAAATGCACGAAAGCATGTAGAAGTTATACATTCAAATTATATGGCTGCTGTCTAGCGCCCCTTGAACACAGACATTATGGGGAACCGCCAACATAGGGCTTGATAGCTCAGTTGGTAGAGCACCGGAACGGCAATCCGGAGGATGCAGGTTCTAACCCCTCTTTGTTCAACATTAAAATGATTCATAGGCTACTCACCATGTTTCACAGTTCCTCTCGATCGTCTCTCCGCTCTCGTACCAATGAAACTCTTCGTAACACTGACACTGATCCGCAGGGATGCAGCTCCCAAAATCATCAACCACCTTGTTGTCATCGCAGTGACATCCTTCCACGCACACGTCCTGGCACTGGGCTCCGTTGGCGATGGCGCGGATCGACTCGCATGAATGGCCACAAGAGGGCGCACACTCCGAGTAGGACATGTTGGGAACGTCACACGCGACATCTGCACATCAATAATAATAATAATTATTATAATACGTGTAATGGTACCATTAAGGAGACATGGTATCGTAATTTCATCGCACGATGGGAAACATCGGTCATTAGGGAGACATTTTCAAGTCTCCCTAATGTCACAGCCCCCCTTTAGAGGCAAAATTTTACTGTCGCAATTAGATTATATTTGTTGCTCGTGGTCTAATTAGTAAATATACCAAAATTCGTGGAAAAAGGACAAGGGAATATTGGGTTAGGGCACATTGAAGTTTGAACATTTTTGTGTACAAGTCTATGGGAATGTCTCCCAAATGACCCATTTCCCGTAATAATAATAACAGGTTCTTAAATAGCGCTTTTAACTAAGTTCAAAAACGCTTTACATTATCATTACCCCTGATCATTGGGCCAATTAAACATTCCAAATACCATCTCAGCTCCCTGGGGAGTATACAGCTCGATGCCGCCTGTTAGGCGCAAGCAAGCTAATTCAATCATAATAACCATCTCTGCCCTCACAGGTACCCATTTACTCCTGGGTGGAGAGAAGCAATGAGTGACAAAGTGCCTTGCCCAAGGGCACACGTACCATGACCCCAGGCTGGACTCGAACCCACAACCTGCAGCTTAACCCGCAGACCACGAAACCAGTGCCCTTAACCACAAGCTACAGCACTCCACAAACAAAAACACCTTTTTGGTAAAACTTTTTTTACCCCACCTATATACAAGTATGTCCCAAAAAAGTGTCCGTCTGACAATTTTTGAAATAACTACAAAACCATGAAGTCAATTTTGAAAATGCCTGATTGTGCAGATACTCCTAAGCCTTGGCCTCAACCCCTGTGAGTTTCATTTAATTTCAGTCACGCATCACTACACAATGGTCAATTGATCACAACAACATTTTTGGACTATGTGACCCAGTTCCTTGCCTCATTCAATTTCAGTGCTGTGTTTTGTAAGCTGTGTAAAACCCTGCATGTTGTGAAAAGGGCTGCGGTTGGGATTGGAATCATTTGCCTGGCTATCAGTCATCATGGCAAGACCTCAGTTTAATGCTCAAGGGCAAATGATTCCCATCCCAAACCACATCGGCCTTTCTTACCTCTCTTAGCGGCTGGAGACAAAGACTACCTAAGATGCGATTTTACAAAATGTATATCCCATAGCACACGTACCGCATTCAGGTATAGCATTCCTCCAGTCTTCCAATATGACATCCTTCTCCCGGCAGTCCGATGCATACTGGGAGAATATGGCACAGTGGTCGTCATCTTCGTTCCCGTTACAGACGTCGTAGCGACAGTCCTGAAAGTATGGGCCTGGATCCACAACGCGATGGCATGCTGGAAAGAAGTAGACGTCATTAACCCTTTAGTCACTGTAGCACCCAAAACCGCTTGACCACTCTATGGTTTCAATGATTTTTCAGTGAATAAATACAATGTAACACAATGTGGTACACGTGCAAGTTAAACTTGTGGCAAGCAGTATGTTGCATATCATGCAATTTTGAACCAATTTTTAAAGGTAGAATACATCATTTGCAGCTATCCTAAAGTAACTGACAAAATTATTGTTGAAAAGCATACTTGGTTTAAAGATAGTAATGGCTCTAAACTCCCTGTGAAATTATTCTTTCTGGCATGCTGTCATTTTGAAGAAAACAACAAAAGGTCATTTCGAAAGAAGTGTCTAAAGACGCAGTTTAGGAAATTTCCGTTGGTAGTTCGTCTTTAATTCCGCAACACCGTGAATGGGTGCACGCAAGCGTTGACATAATTCATCCGTTCAGTGCATTGCATCGCGTTGCTGCAATCAACTAAAATGAGAACGTGCCCCTGACGATGATTTCGCGCGCAATTCAGAACAAGACTTGGCAACTTTTGAATTGAAATCGAGATCCTAGAATATTGTTTTCTTGGAATATACAGCATTCACTGAGCTAAAACTAAATCAGGTTAGTTGTTAAGCACCCTTCTTTAGACTTTGAGCACTTTTATTGCTTCAAACGAAAAAAATGCACAAATGACAAATGATATACTCTACCTTTAACAATCGGGGATCCAGAATCAACATAGGGAATATTTTGCAATTGGGTTGGCGGAGATGGGATTTATTTTGGAGGGGCAACGATTGACAGAGAAGTACTTACGTTTGAAGACATCCTCAGTGAATAACTTGTTGCACTGCTCATAGGCGATGTCTTTCTTCTGTGAGTACAGCTCGCAGACATTAGGGGGTTCTACTGGGGGTACATCAGAGCAGGTGTCTCCTTCAAATCTCACCTTCCAGCTGTTGCCGAAAGCCGTGGAGGATGCGACTCGGTCACCTGGGGTTGGGAATCAATAATAATAAATAATAATAATAACAGGATTTTTAAAGCGCCATTCCATCTAGATCATGGCGCTAAAGCAACACAAGATAATGAAAACAGACATTAACATGAAATTGGAAACAGGTGAGCTTTTAAGTGTTTTCTGAGTAATGAAATAGTCTCCTGTGATCTGATGCTTGAGGGTATGGTGTTCCAGAGCTTAGGGCCGGTAATAACGAAGGCACGGTCAGTGGAGGTGTTCTTGGATCTCTGCACCGACAATAGTGTACCATCATTACTGGAACGAAGGCCAGGTCGGCCAGATACGTTGAGCTGGATGAGGCGGTTAAGGTACTGAGGAGCTGTGTGATGGAGACATTTGAAGATGAGGAGGGCTATCTTGAATTCAATTCTTTGCCGGATGGGAAGCTAGTGAAGTTGGTTAAGTAGTGGGGAAGCCAATTCACGCTTGTCAGCGGTGAATAAAAGGCGTTTTGTAGTCGTTGAAGTTTAGACTAAAACTAACTAGTTAGGTAACTAGTTAACTAATTAATTGATTAAAATCATACATGGGCCTGTTCAGAGATCAACTGGAAGAGTTGAACATACTTGTATGTTGCAAAATTGTATTCCTTACATAGCGCTTTCCTTCATATCAACAATTTCAAAGCGCTTTACAATTATTCCCCCGTTCGTCAGGCCATGGGACCACGCGGCAGCCGATATCAGCGCTCAATCGGTCCTCTACCCTCACAGGTACCCATTCATACTCCTGGGTGAAGAGGGACAATTGTAGTCAAGTGTCTTGCCCAAGGGCACAAACACCATGTTCCTAGGCAGGGTTTGAACCTATACGCACCATAGTACATGAATCCTGGTTAGTTTTAGTAAGCTTGCCATCAGGTATCATGACGTCATCCGCCTGGTTCTTGTTGAACATTCTGCATATTTAACTCAAGTTTAACCCTGGTTAATCCTAGTTATCTTACCATCAGTTTTCACAAAGCTTAGTTCTTGTTGAAGATTCTGCATATTTAACTTGAGTTAATTAACCTTTTAATCTTGGTTAATCCTTGTTATTTCTCAATCAGTTGTCTTGAAGCCTCGTTCTTGTTGAACATTCTGCACATTTAACCCAGGTAAGTGTAATTAACCATTTAATCCTTGTCAATCCTAGTTGAACATGCTGCATATTTAATCTAAGTTAATTTGATTTAACTGTTTAACCTTGGTTAGTTTTAGTTATCTCACCGTCTGGCGTCATGAAGTCATCCGCCTGGTTCTTGTTGAACGTTCCACACAGGCCGCAAGTCCTGTTGAACTTACTCGGCGGAGCGACAATCTCCACGCGATTCTTGCCATCCCAACGAATCACCATGCCGTTACCAAGCGACACCTTAAGTAAACAAGTTGGAATTGCGAGATATATGAACTTTAGGTTAGTATATGAACTTTAAAATCTCTGTTTTTCAAAGGGTCCACGACAGGAATTTTACTTCGAAACCTATTTTGTGCAACTTTCTACTCTCCTTATATGTATGAAACAATGTGACATCCCTTTTTGGTTAAACGTTGTGAAAACTGCACTTTAAACAGTTGAATTTGTCCGTACTTTCCAGACAACTGAGGGCGTTGTTGCTGTTATGTTATGCCAGGAAGATACTGTTCAGTTTAGAGGTTTTCTGTTCAAATTGTGAACCCAAGCATTTTCGCATTGAAAACATTTCTGAAAAAGTGTGCTCGTTTGCGTACTGTCATGTACGGACAAAACATGGAATCGCCAAAGAAAAAAAAATTTACGACAGCAAACTATCTAAAATTCTGGCGACTTTTGATGCTGAAATAGCTGTAACATTGGGGTTTCTGCCTGAAATGACGTCACACTTTTGCTCATGAATATGGAAATTTGTATCAGCATAAAAACCAAAAAGGCACCAAAGTACCCTTGAAAATGTCCAAACGAAAATTGAAAATAACGTTGAATGGGACACAAAAGTTTCTTTTCAAGGATTACATCACCAAAAAATACATTACATGGGCTCTTCATGGAGGAAGAAGAATTTGGAGTAACGAGATCATCAACAAGATTTCAAAGTAAATTTTGATACAAATCTTAAAGAGTTTTACCACTGTCAGCAAGGTCGTTGGGCGGTCTACCATGATTCCGTCAACAACAAACGGGAACACGGTGATGGTGTTCCCGTTGGCGGACACGCGGTGACCCCCAGCAAGGATGATGACGTCATTCGCGTTCTTGACGATGACCTTTTGTGTACAAGACACACCGGAATGACCGCACGGAGCATTGTCGGCGATGATCTCAAACTTATCGTCGCTGTCCCAGCAATCCTTGACGAGTTGGTAGGCGCAATCTCCCATGAAGTTATAGCGAGTGTCGTCAAAGGTCTTGTAATGGGGATCTCCCGAGGCCCAGCATATGGCTAGAATCAAATAATAATAATAGTATTAAGCGCCTTTTCCAAAGGATACAAAGCGCTAGAGTGAACATAATGAGACCCATTATGTAGCACCTTTTTGCTAGGTGCTGCGGCGTATATTGCAGCCACTGCCAGAAACACGTTCCCCTTCTGTTAAGCGACAAGTGTTACTGGGTTGTTTAACTAAACGTGCAATACACAAAACACGGGACCTACGGCTTTATGTCCAGTCCGAAGGACAAAGTAATAATGGTAAAGTGCCTTGCTCAAGAACACAAGCACCGTGTTCCAACGATCAGGATTCGAACCCATGTACCACGGCCATGACCACGGCACAGGAGTCGAACACCGTAACCACTGGACTACAGCGCCCCTTGGAATACAATGAAAGATTTCTGTAAACACTCCAGTTTACACAAAATTTACTTAAAATATTACAACCAAATAACTGGGCAGATATTGGCTGTCGTGCATATTTCAAAAGACGGATCCCATCCTTCAGAAACAAAACCCCTTGATTTTACAATACGAATGCTATAAATTTTCGTCAACTCACTTTCACAGATGTTATTGGTGCAGGTCCATTTGCCACCATGACAGGTGCTATAAGAAAGTTAAACAAAGAAAAGAGTTACTTAACAAATACTACTGCAGATATCAAATGACAGAAACTACAGGGTGGTTCAAAATAAAGGAAATCCACTTTTGACAGCAATTTTCACCTACTTAGTTAACTTATTTCAAATTTTGTCGTCACATTGTAGTAAAGTATAGCCCTTTAACCATGCATGGTGAAAAAAAGTTTTGTAAAAGTCGCAAGAATTATATTATGCTAATTTGAATACAAGTCACCAAAATCAGTCTTGTCCAAGTGTTATTCTATGTAAAATTGGACGTTTTTGTAGTTCACAAAAATAAGAAACCTTGCCAATAAAATGTTTGACCTGGTAACTTTTACTGAGGCTGTCCGATTGTTCATGTCAGTGTTAAGATCATCTACCCAAGGAGCTGTAGGCTTCATTTCATTGTTGCACAACATCACATAATAATCAAAAAGAAGTAGAACTAACAATCCTTGTCTGACGTGTGCTAATATTTTGTCTTCAAATCAAGCTCCGAAAGCTGAGCTCAGTCAAGCGGATGGAATGTATACCTCCGTGGACAAACAGGTTTCACACATGTAATGTTCAAACTACCATAGCTCAGAGACAAAATACCCAATTCCAATGATTATTTTGTCACTTATGCACAAAGGCCAGTACTTAAATAGTTACTAATCCAAAGTTTAACAAACATTTTAAAAATAGGTGAAAATGCTGTCAAAAGTTGATTTCTTTAATTGTGGATCAATAAAAAGATACAGCTTTATCTGTTAACCAGCTGTGCGCATAACATTCTTTGCCTCATATCTGAAATGGTCCAATTGGAGTTTATAGGAGTTTCTCAAATTCCTATGAGAAACATTGTCAAATTCACAGGATCAAATTGCCAGGCCCTTTACCCAACAAACTTTCAAACTTTGTCTGAGAGGCAACTTTACCACTGATTGCATCCGTCTGAGATGGTCGACCCCGTCTCATATTCCTCCCCGTTACTGACGCACGGACAGTCCTCCTCCTTCACGCACTGCCCGTCGCTGTTCTGGAACCGGTCTGTAGGGCACCGGCACCCCTCGACGCAACCAATCGAATGGTCTTCTTCGCAATCGCTGGCCGCTGACCCGCACATCTGGGTGCAGGTGGTGCCACAGCTGTGATAAACGGTGTCAGAAGGACAGGTCCAAGCTAGGGTCGGGGAGAGAAATTGGAGGGTTAATTTTCAAAAAAATATTCCTTCTCAATCTCAGGTATTCTAAACTTTGATGCATAAGACTAAAACTATGACAATGGTCTATAAGTTGGATGATTTCTGTTTTGATATTTTCAAATATTACAACAATTTCATAATAAAAAGTGGTGGGCAGCCGTGGTAGTCAGGCAGAATCAAATATATCAAAGTAAGGTAGCACTTTTAACCCTAACTCCGAAGGCCTTTTTGCTTGGATGTAGCATCAATCCTGCAAAATCCTCCAATTGGCCTCATGGAAAAATAGCATATAGCCTCAATCCTGCAAATTCCTCTGTTATTTCTTGAATATGGTCCATGGAGGGGTGACCACTGCCTGAATCCTGCAAAATCCTGCAGCAGTGACTGTCAATATGTTGAGGCTTGGCCAGTGACATCCTGGAGCAGTACGGAGGATTTGAAGCATAATCCAGGCCTATATTTATAGCTGAGCAAAAACAACACAAGGTCTGGCACAAGACCTTGACAAAGTGCATCCTCCGAAATCAGTAACGCACTTTTGCCATTTAACCTCAATCCTCCAAATTCCTCCACTTTGGCAAAGAGGATTTTGAAGGATTCAGGGCGGTTAGCGTTAATTAATCAGTTGGGACAAGAAAATTGACCGTAGCAGGATCTGAACCAGTTACTACCAGAAAATCATGCCACCATTAACAAACTGAACTTTGCTGGCTTATTTTTGTCAATGCTTGTTGTAAATCAATAAAATCCAAGAGATTAAGCTAGTCCTTACGACACAGTGCGTTTGTCCTCCAGTCCAACTTGACGCCGTATCGTGCGCACTCCATAGCGTACGCTGTCAGGCTGTTACAAGCGCACTCATCCTGGCCGTTCTGACAATTGCACATGTCCCTCTGGCAGGCTTCAATGTATGGATTGACATCAATTACCTAGACCGAGAAAAAAAAAATGAAACATTGGTTCATGGTTCATTTCCTTCTGTGAAACTTTTCATAATTTTATAAAAGTTATACAAGGTGACCCCCAAAAAATGCAACATTTGCCTTTTTTTTTCAAAAAAGTGATCGGTGAATTTAGACCAAGAAAAAAAACGAAACGTTGGTTCATGGTTCATTTCCTTTTGTGAAACTTTTCATAATTTTATAAAAGTTATACAGGGTGACCCCCCCAAAAATTGCAACATTTGCCTTTTTTCAAAAAAGTGATCGGTGAATTTAGACCAAGAAAAAAAAAATGAAACATTGGTTCATGGTTCATTTCGTTCTGTGAAACGTTTCATAATTTTATAAAAATTATAAAGGGTGACCCCCCAAAAAATGCCACATTTGCCTTTTTTTTTCAAAAAGTGATCGGTGAATTTAGACCAAGGAAAAAAATGAAACATTGGTTCATGGTTCATTTCCTTCTGTGAAACTTTTCATAATTTTATAATAGTTTATATAAAGGGTGACCCCCCAAAAATTGCAACATTTGCATTTTTTCAAAAAAAGTGATCGGTGAATTTAGACCGAGAAAAAAAATGAAACATTGGTTCATGGTTCATTCCTTCTGTGAAACTTTTCATAATTTTATAAAAGTTATAAAGGGTGACCCCCCAAAAATGCAACATTAGCCTTTTTTTCAAAAAAGTGAATGGTGAATTTTTATGTTTTGGATATCAGATTGAGGACGAGAGTTTTTTTCCTTTCAAATACTGGAAAAATAATTAAAATGGCACATTGGGTTGCTGAGAAAATGCCAATTAAGTAAAAGAAGTGATTTTTTTCATCCTTTTCAAAGGTGTTTCAAACAGTGAAACATGTTACTGTAAGCCCACTGTGCAACTGTCTTTCATTTGTGCAATTTCTTAAATATTTTGACATATCATCAAGCTAAATGAGTCGTTTGTCTGGAACTTTCTTTTGGAGATTCAGGCCCTAAAAAGGGCCACTTCATCACATCACTTCATCACATCTCTGGTGTTCCGACTTCCATAATTTTTGAACTAAAGATGGTACCAGCATGCAGTTTTCACAGCAGTGCTGAGATTGTGCTCTTTTGAAATCTGTACAAAAAACAATTGACCAGGGTCGACAAACGACTCGTTTAGCTTGATCGCATCACATATTTATGATGCTGTAAAGGTTTAAATTGAACTTATAAGGATCCAATACCATTTCAGGTTGAAAATAAAAGGTATTTCCATCAAATTCATTTGTACTCTTGTTACACTTACAAAACCTGCTGAAGCGAACGCTGAGAAAAGGCAAATGTTCTGAAAACCCTGTTTGTTCTTGTAGGTGGGAGGTAAAGCCGTAGGTCCCGTGTGTTGTATAATGCATGTAAAAGAGCCCAGTAACGGTTATCGCTAAGAGCAGGGTTCGCTCCGGTGTTTCTGGCAAGTGCGTTTATTTTTATACATATGAGCCTGCACTTTCAAGGAAGGAAGGAAGGTATACCAAAATAGCGCCCTCTATGAGTCACTCACAGAGCCTATAGATTTCTAGTGACTACTTATCACACTTTGTTGATATCTTACCGTGTGGCAACTGTTAAACGAGGGATCGTCCTCCAGTGCCTTGCACGTGGCTTTGGCAAAGTTGGACAGGTCGATGAAATCCTTGTACTGATGGACGAGATGCGGAGGAATGAAGATCTGTGTGCACAGGACAGTGGGTTGCGGGACGTCATCGCAAGCATCATCTGAAAAAAGAAGAAGAAAGTTTTCTTTGTTTTGCTTTGGATTTGTGGTGGTTAACACATCAGCAGAAATAGAACACCACCAGGTACAATGGTTATCCAACGACAACCATTTCAACTGCAGAAACAACTAGAGTTTGAAGGGACCAACACACGGTGTTGGGCTACAGGTTTGGCTTTTTCGGATTGTTGATTGTTGTTGTTGATTGTTGATGTTGATTGTTGATTGAATTTGACAGTGGTTGTTCATGTTGATGTCGATCGTTGATTGTTGTTGATTAACAATTATTGATGTTGATTGTTGATGACTGTTGATGTTGATTGTTGATGTTGATTTTTGTTGTTGATTGTTGATGTTGAATGTTAATGTTGATTATTGATGTTGGTTATTGATGTTGATTGTCATGATTGCTGATGTTATGGTGTTGGGCACGAGGTTTGGCTTTTTCATTTTCAATTCTCATTTTGCGCTTGTTTTGATTATTATTACATATTTTTTAAATATTTTATTTAATTTGGATCCAGGGCCCGATTTCATAGAGCTGCTTAAGCAAAAAAATTGCTTTAGCACAAAAAAAGTTTGCTTAATATAATCAGGTTACCCACCGAAACTCCATGCGATTGTTATGCTAAGTAAACAACAGTTAAATACCAGTCACAAGCAATGTACATCGCATGGAGTTTTGGCCGGTAACATGATTATATTAAGCAAGGGGTTTTTTGTGCTTAAAAGCAAATTTTATGCTTAAGCAGCTCTATGAAATTGGGCCCAGATCATTCTGAATCACCCTGTATAAACAGCAAAAAAGTTTCATCAAATGTGAAAATGGCACCAAAAGACAATTGGCAAAAGCCCTAGTTGGGTCATTCGACAAAATTGGGGTCCAATTCTTTTTCATGTCCCTGTTACATTTGACATGTATAAGATTTTGTTAATTCAGGACTTATTCTTTTATGCCATCTACCTCCAAGAGTGATTATGTATTAAAAGCAAAGTATCTTCAAAACAGCCAAAAACAAATACACAGGTCAGGTGTACTAGGAACACCAAAACGTCACACTTTTGGCCCCCAAATTTATGGTATGATTTTATTTACCTTCTTTCCAAGACAGACCAAAATCATAGGCATTGTCGAAAGTTCCAAACGGTCCCTTGAAATCATCCGATGGGTCGTCGTTGTAGACGCCGCACAGTCCACACGTCTGCTGCCTCAAGCTGTCGGACGTGATGTAGACAGTCACGCTCTCGTCCCCGTCGTAAATGAGTTTGAACCCGAGCCCGCTGGTAACCATGATGCTGTCGCTGACCTTCTCGATGACCAGTCCGTCCAGAGAAGTCGGAAGGTCCAGACTGGACAACTCGTGCCCGACGACCAGCCCCGGTCGAAGATAGATCGGGGATGCCGCGTCGCCATTATGTACCACCACGGTTCGGTTGCACGAAGCGCCCGTGCCTGGGGCGAAACAGTCCAGGTCATTCTGGATGGAAATTCGGAAGGTGTAAGCGGTGCAGTCCAGAACCAGTGTGTATTGGCATGCTCCGTGGAAATTGTAAGTTTTGCCGTCGAATGTTCGGAAGTGTGACTGGGACCAGGCCGAGCAGTGGGGTGCTACACTGGGGCCACTCAGGTCCGATACTGTTGACAAAAAGACAACAACAAAAATAAGCTCGGGCTGAAAAATGATAGAGCAATTAATAAATAAGCGTGGCTATTGTTTATGGCAATCGATCATCTGGTGCCCTGATCTGACAATATTCAATGTTAGGATCTTTGGCTCTTGGAACCCGACTATCAACTGAATGGTTCTCTTACTTTATTCCCTTAAAAAAATCCTCCAAAGCTACAGGTCACTAAGAAAAAAACCCAAGTAATCTAGGAAAGAATGTTGCATCCTGACGCCACTTTTTTCATCATATAATCATCTCAATTATTAAAGGTCAGTCATTGCAAAAATGTTGAGAAGGCATACATCTGGGACTGAGAAACATTTCCTTGACTCTCCATACTCCATAGACTTTGTACACAACAACTGAAGCCTGGATACTTCTTTCTACAGTGGAATCTAGTCCAATAAATTAAAATAAAATTTAGGATTTGTAACATTTTTTTTGTAAGTAAAAAAAAGGCAGTGTAAATTTTGCCGGAGACGGCAAACCTTTAGTAAACGTTAGTTTGCCGGATATGCACTGAACATGCGCAGTTACTGTTTTTTTGTACTTAAACATTTTCCGGTGACAAGTTTTAGTCTGGCTCCATGCCAAAATTATCGTTGTTACCTCGTATTCATAAGATGGGATTCAGACCATTTTATAATTTCGGACTTTATTTTCCCTTTTAAAAAAAATCCTCCAGAGCCACAAATCTGAAAAAGAAAATGTTATACTCTGCCAAAAATGTTTGAGACATGTTAAAATAATAAAAGAAGAATATTCTTATTTATTTGGGGATGAGAAAAAAACACTTTAAAATGTGGTGCGGTCGGAATCGAACGCGAGTCATCCCGCTTACTAGAGCCTTTGCTTAACCATTACACCAAACGTGCTACACAACTTTTGGTGGGAATTTAATACATCTTATAATTCAGCCCTATTTTAAAGAGTACAGCGCCCTCTGTTGATATGGATTGCCGCCGACAAACCTTTAGTAATCGTTAGTTTGCCGTCATTACCTCCGGCAAAATATCCACTATCTAAAAAAAACCATTAAAAGAAAAGGAAAAACAAAATTATCTTATTTAATCGTGAAACCTTCCCTGTTCGGCATGGTTGGTCATGTTGGTAGTCTAACGTTTAACCAGTCGAGCTACCATTGGATTGGCAGTTATATGATAGATTGGCAATGTTGTTGTTTCATTAATGCCGTAATGATAGCTTGAGTAACTCCAGCTGACATGTTCCATATTCATTTACATGTGAATGAATATGGAACATGTCAGCTGGAGTTACTCAAGCTACCGTAATGATAGCAATTGAAAATTGCGTAACGGCTGCCATAACAATAGCCACACTTGCCATGCTAGCGCTAGCACACAACACAAGTTACAAATTACAACATAATAAACAAACTTCCATGTTTATGGTTGTTGAATGTCAAGGTTAAATCTTCCAAACAAACCCTTTAACAATACAACTTAAAACCACAAAACACCGAAACTTTTTCAAAGAACATGAAAAATGCCGCTCCTAGACTGGTGATGCTCCGACATATCCGTGAAAAAATGATATGTGGATTCTGGATACCAACCACGAGAAAGGTACCCATCACTTGAGGGCGCTTTAGACCCAAAAGTTAATGATTGTGCGCAAATTTTAGTTTTTGATTTCGTTGAATGCGTCAGATATGAACATATATTTTTAGATTGTAGGCTATAAATAAAAACAAAAAAAAGAAAGAAATAAGTATTTTTCAACCAACCAATCCTTAGTATCACATAGTTGGGAACTGAAATTTATTTGGTGTCGTTTCGGTTTGCGGTAACACCATGTGGTAATATAACTAGGCCTACTGCTTAAAAGATATTTACTGAGTTCTGAAAAGAACTTGTCCATTTGTAGTTTCTTCGGGTTTTTTTGCACAAGTTTGAAAAAAAGGGAGTAAATTTGAACTAGTGAACTTAAAAATTCATATACAGCGCTGGCCCGATGATATTATTCATGCAGTCTAGACGTGATACTCCCACGCATGTTTGCCAACTAGTTTGCACTTGCAAGTTTCAGCCAATCAAAACGGTTCACTCATTCGTAGAAGGCGAGTGTTTTGTTTGCTTTGTAACCCCCGCTTTGATAGGCCTATGAATTGCACTCGTTGCCCCTAATAAACATGTGATTATTTTTCTACCATAGTTGCACGATGATTGCGTATTAGTCTTCAACTCGGCCGTCCATCGTAATTACTTCAGGATTCAGCCAAAACTGCCGGAGGTTAAAGTTGTTGTAGGCCTATAGTGCTTTTTGTGCGTGTGTGGCACCTTGAAAGTAGATTTTCAAATTGAATTGATAATTTTCTAGCATAACGTTAGTTATGAGATTCCAATGAGACATCGCACGAAAAAATTCGGCCATATCATGACAAGTAATCAATTATTTAATTTCAACTTTCGAATTAACGCCCCTACTTCGTCCTGAATAGAATGTGCGCAATTTCTGAACTGGAGCGCGCAATTTCAAACCAATTTTTAAAACTGTTTAAAGGCCTACAAAAAGAAACAAGCAATTTTATTTGTTACAGGACATTATGTTCCTTTAAATTTCGTTCGGAAATGAAAATTGAAATTTTGGAAAATCACGCATATACCAACTTCAATGTCAAGAGAGGCCATGTTGTTATTTATGAATTTTTTTTTTTTTTGGTTCTTCAAATTTTGGCTTATTTTTGTTTTATTTTTTCCCCTTCCTCTTCTTAATTCAACCCCCCTTGAGAAAGAAACAATTTATCAGTACGCCTGCGTCCACGCATAGGCCCCACTTAACACTATAGTGACAACACCACGTGAATAAGGGTATAGGCCTCCGCTAGATATTGCTCTTTTTTCTTTTCAGATTACCCCGAACCAGACAATGTGAACCAGACACAAAGTTTATTCACTGGCGCGGACGAACTCAGTAATCGATACACGCCGCATGCTAGATAAACGGTTCAAAAGGTTGACTGTCGGTCACGTGACATCAACGCACCCTCTCGGCGCACCCAAAAACAGTATCAAACAAACAAGGACTTAAGTTAACTTTAACATTTAACAATGATCGATCTTCACTGTTTATCATAATTTGTATACTAAAAAGGTTACAATAATTGACTTCATTTCAAATTAATTTGGAATTGACTCAAGCCCAGTACTGATATAAACTGTTGTCGGCCCTCACAGGTTTTGGACTTAAAATGCAAAATAACTTTTCAGAATATAGTTCTGCAGGTGTTTTTTTTTCAGTACTTGGTCGCCATCTTTGTAACCATGGTAACTTACTTAGACTTCTGTAGCTGATTGGTAGGGCGTTGCGTCTGTAGCGTGGATGCGCGTCGTCCTTGTACGACGCCAACTGCGCACTTTTCTTGACTACAGGCTGAATGACGCTTCTCTTCATGTCATACACTGTTGAAAGTAAAAAGAAGGGGGAAAAAAGGAACAATTTGAAATAAATCTCGAATGCACGGACCAAAGACACGAAAACGTTAGTAGAGATAATCTATCAAGCATAAATGCTGCAACTTTAAGTTAACAAAATTTCCCCAAAGCGAACAATTTTGATAACAAATTACCCTTTTTTTCTTGCAATAATCGAGATTTGATGACCATATAAAGTTATCCCAATCCAATACAGTTTTTTTTATAAATTAAATAGCTGATTTAGAACAAGCCGGATATCAGACTCGGGAAATTTGATATCAAAGCACTTATATTTTATAAAATAAAATTAAGAAAAAAAAATTAAACAACCTCAGAAATGCTGCCTCCTAATTTGCCAAAAGGTGCAATTTTTTTTCAAGTCAAATAATGAAATCATCTCAAGAACTTTAAAGAACGGGAATATAACAGCGAAAAACAGCGAAATATATATTTGTTTCACCTTTTGCTTATAAGTAATTCATTCAGTTAACGTCTTTAGAGATGATTAAGGGAATGTACAGAACCTCATACAACTTTGACGACACCTGTAAACACATAATCTCGGGGTAACTTAATTGAATTGATTGTTCCATTTTATTGGGGGTCGCTACCTTCCCGTACGCTCTTATCAGCATTCAGACGTAGATACACCATAGTGATGAGATAATTTGGGAGACATGGCGTCTAATGACGTCACAAGTGGTCGGAAATACGTCACTTGAAATCTTTCCAAGGTAGCATGTCGGCAGATAACTTTACTGTTGGCGTAGATTGTAACCTCTAAATACCGTACATTTCTGGTTGCCAAGCACGTAACCGTTTTTACGTAATGTGGTAAACGTTTACCAGAGATAACGGTTATTTATGGTTGGTAAAATACCGGTTTGGTATCATCAGCGTCTAATGAACTTTTATCTATTGAAACAAAGATTGGTATTCAAATAACACGGGTGAAAAGCGTGATCGATTTCATCAATCATAATGTATATAGTTTACGAAGTTCATAACAATCGGTATTGGTCCCGTTTCCAACTGAAGACTGCCCTTCCCGAAACTCACTGTACCGCCCCAAACCGCAAATTAGTGTGTGGGTTTCAATGGGTTTATCAAGGAATACAAGGGAATACAATGTAATACAATTTAATACAATGTAATACAATGTAATACAATGTAATACAATTAAACAATTTAATACAATGTAACAGAGGTGCTAATGGGGCTCATCGTTCGAGACGACAAGACAACAATTGATAAAGGAGACACTAGAAGTATTAACACAATCAACAAAAACAGCGGCAAGAACATAAGCAAGGATAGTACGGCAGATTGGATTGTGCCTTTGATGATACAAGCATGGCATTTGGCATACAGTCAGAGTATGTCATGAGTAAGATATTTGGCTATATATAGACCATTGTCATGTTGTGGCCATCATGATTTTTCCCATTCAAATCCACGTAACCAAAGCGAGGCTGGAAGGAAAAATAGTCTGGTTCCTTTTTGCGCACACAAATTATCATTCAGTACTGTTATTTGATATAGGGAACATGACTAAAATGGTGGCACCATGCTAAAGGTCTATAGGGCCATCCCAGATTTTCCTTTGAAAAAATATAGATAGAAACAATGGCAGCCATTTTGAAAATTGCTTTTAATTGTACCTATATTTTTTTCAAAGGACAAGTGTGCGATGACCCTACAGCCAAATATCTTTCTTAAGACATACTCTGACTCTTTGCCAAATGTCATGTTTGTATCATCAACGGCACAATTCCCCCAAATATTTCCCTTTCTGCCCCACCAGTAAAGTCGGCCACTAAAAGATAAAAAAAATACACTCCGAGCTTGTGAAAGTTAATCCGAAATCCGGAATTTCAGGAACATCCCTTGTAATAATCCGGGATTACACTGTGTTTATCTAAAATCAATAGTGTAATTTCTTCGGCAAAAAGCTTTATTACAGACAATCATCATGATTCGCGTAATCCTTTGACGAGAGGTCTATTTTAGTAACATTAATAAAATACACAGTGCATGAAGATGGACAAGGTCCGCTGTACTTTAAAAAAAAATATTTTACGGGCTTTGAAATTGAAAAGCGGAGAGGAAGTTATCTAGCGCTAAGTAGACTGCCTGAGAGTTAAAAACTACAAAAGAATATACAAATATCAAAACATAAAAATGTGGTTGCATTCTGTTATGGCTCATTAAAGTTTCCGAAGGTTCAGCTCATTTTTCAAGTCGTCTGTTCTCGCGCAGAGTCGTTCCAGGATTTGACGGCCTTCGCGTGAGCGTGCTTCACGTGCAAACGTTCAACACAAAACCATACCTTTGTTTGTTCTGGCAAGTTCATCCTTGGTTTACACGAAAATGAGAATAAAGCATTCATTTTATCTTGTTTGTTTAAGGATGGTACATGTACAGCCCTTTTTATATCGTCTGGGTGACCACAGCTGAATTTGGTTTAGGATTGTTCGATATGACGTCATAAACTGAACTTGACAATATGACTTTTTCTTCCCGACACCATTTTTAACAAAGAGGCAATTTTACTTTGCAAGCGTGTTTCAATCTTTATATTTGAAGGAGACAATACCAAATAAAACACATTTCCCCACTGATTATCGATAGACAAGGGGTTTAAATGTAGGAGCAAACCATGTGGTTACATTGTGAAGTAACCTTTGGGGCGGGAAATTTCTTCCGCGATGATGCAATACGCGCGTGGTTTTCAGAAACCAATCGCTGTGCTACAAAAACGTTTCTTGCAAAAAAGTGTACATGGCAGGGCAATGAAAATCAGGCCAAAACTGCGCCAAAAAGAAAGTATACTAAGCCTATTAGTAGGAATCTGATCTAGATGAGTAATAACTTACCTTCATCGGCTTCTGTGTAGCTTGGGTGCCAGTGTTGCCTGAAAAAAAAAGGAGCAGAGATATCAAAATAATTTACTGCCAACAACTAAAGTTTTCCAAAACAATCTGAAAAAAAATCCTTGCCATCGGCCTTAGGCAGGATCGTGTTTGTCAGTACATGTATCTCAACTTTGGAGGACTGGTATAGAGAGCAATTCCAACTATTTTTGTGTGTATTCGTTTGTTTACTTATATCTAATATCCATCCATTGTGAACATTTCCATAAGACATTATTTTGTGATTTAAACGCGCAGCTTTAAAAGTAAACCTCGCTTATAGACATTATTAAGCGACAACAGTTGAGTTAAAAGTGTTGGGGAAAAGTCGGTGATGGAAAGCTAGATCAAAAGGTTTGAAAATATATAATTTCCATAGCGAACATTGTTCCTTAAAATGCATTTTAGGAAAAATTTCAATGATCCAGTTAGATCAAAACGCATGGAAATAATTTCCATCCGTAGTGAACATTTCCATAAGACAATATTTTGTGATTTAGACTCAAGCGACAACAGTTGAGTTAAAATTATTTATTAAATTACATTTTACAAAAAACTCAATGAACATTTACATCAAAAAGGCTTGAAAATAGTTTCCATGGGTAGTGAACATTTCCATAAGACATTACTTCGTGATTTACACATATGCAAATGCGAATTTCCATGTTCAAGAGCGAAAGTGTGATGTCATTTCAGGCAGAAAACTCAATGTTACAGCTATTTCAGCACCAAATTTGCCATGTTGTTTCGGTACATGACAGTAGGCCCTTAGCCAATGAGCAACGTTTTCTCAAAAAAGATTTCCCTAAGCAAATTTTGGGTTTACTATTTGAACATAAAAACACTTAAGTAGACAGTGTCTTCCTCAAATGACATCACAGCAACAGCGCCCTCATTTGTCAAGAAAAGCATTGAAATTTCAAAAGTTTAAAAAGTGCACATTTCTATACAATTAACCAAAAGGGATGTTAAATAGATTTCATACATTTAAGAAAAGTAGAAAGTTGCACAAAATATGTTACCAAGTAAGATTCATGTCATGGGCCCGTTAATTAAACCTCGCCAATAGACACTATGCGGTTCAAACGACGACAGAAATCGAATCCGCAGAAAATACTACACTCAACCAAAAAAAGAAAGGTCCCCCTTAATACGTTTGTGTCTAACTCAAAAACTACTAGGCACATCTCGCTCAAAAAATGACTACTCAGTACAAAAATTCCATAGCAATCTAGCCATACTCTTTGTTTGGCCAAAACAGTGATAATGTGTACAAAATTATGCAATTTATAACAAATGGTACCGAAAAAAATTGCACTTTTGTATACGTGCAAGGTGAGTGTGAACCACAACTTGCACGTATATGCAACTGTTTTCGGTATCATTTGTCATAAATTTCATAAATTCGTACACATTTTCACTGTTTTGGGCCAAATAAAGAGCATGGATGGATTGCTAAGGAATTTCTGTACTGATTAGTCATTATTTGAGCGAGATGTGCGCAGTATTTTTTGAGTTTATTGGAAAGGGGGGGGGGGCTTTTTTTGGTTAAGTACAGGTAGAGGTCTGGTTTCCATAGATAACATTGACGAAAATGCCAGTTATTATAGGACGATATTAGCAGAGCACTTGACTTGCATCGTTGGTATGTGGCGAGCAAATAGCCACGGGTTCACTCCTTGTGTGACGTAGAGGCATTGGTGATTGGGTACCATTGGGTGTTGGTGGGTAACTATTGGATTACCATAATACCAGCTGACAAATACGTCAGAAAGGTTCCGAATCGAGCTTAATTTCTGCATGCTAAAATTCTTATCACGAACGAACTAAAAACAGTTTTATACAGGTGCTAAGTTTAGTCCACCTCAGCTCTTGAACTTCATGATCTTTAGTTGGATCATCTTCATGATCTTTAGCTCGATCATCTTCATGATCGTTAGAATTGTTCAACATATCAATAGGGCAGATTGATTTCTGATTGATATGGTAAAAATCAATTAGAATTTGTTCCCGCAGTTTTCCAAAGCTACAATTGAAAGCGAGATGTCATATCTCTCTTATTTCTCATTAAATTGTACATAAATTATAAAGTTTGCGGGTAGCACCACGTGGAAAGATATCGCTTCTTCGAAGAAGTGTGGTTCTGAAAAGAACCGGTTGGTTGAGTGTAGAACTCGACGTTTCGGACAGTGTGCTCTGTCCGTCTTCAGGAGGTTGAGTGATGAGATGTGGAAGATGTAGGAGGTTTTCCACATCTCATCACTCAACCTCCTGAGGACGGACAAAGCACACTGTCCGAAACGTCGAGTTCTTCACTCAACCAACCGGTTCTTTTCAGAACCACACTTCTTCCAAGAAGAGATTTCTTTCCACATGGTGTTACCCGCAAACTTTATAATTTATCTCGTCCGCCATGCAAAGCTTCAAGTCATATATACATTGTACATCTCTCGCATTAAGTTGGCTGGACATGGTAAACACGTCACTTTCAAGAATTTTTGGTGTCGAAACATCTCTTTCGATTTTTATAGAAAGTGGTTCTGAGAAGACTTCAGTAGGTATAACTTGCCGTTTCGATCAGAACGCTTCGATTGTGACGAAAACCTCTCTCACTACTTTTTCCTGCATTTAATATACATTATCAAAACACTTCCCAATTGTACCCGATTTTCACAACTGATATAGGCCTATATCCAAATGAAGGGGACACTGACATCAAACTTTACTCAAATAACTCGTTATATTCTCCAATGTGGACGTCCCTGGTATATAGTCCTTTAGAAAAATTATTACCTTGAAACAAAAATACAAGCTGCTCTAAAATTGAACATACCATGCATCACCGACATTCAGCAGGCAAGCCGTACACCACAGAAAAACTAGGCCGAGTATAAGCCGGCTTCTCCCGGCTAAAGCCATTGCGTTGACTCGGTCAAGAACAATCCTCGGAGTTTCCTGTAAACCATGTGCCGACTAATGATCGAGGTACACATTAGCTGCCGAACTCCGACCAATACTGGCGAATTAGCTTCCTATCAACACAGATCCTTCCCCTACTATCAGATTAAGGTATGCGTACAGATAAGACCCAATAAGGCCCTCCCCTAAAAATGTTCAGGGATGCGTAAGTACACAATACGTGGGCTGCCGATGTCGCCTATATAATAATAGACCCATCAAACTTTTTTTTACTCAAGGTCCAAAGTTAACTTTTGTGGGGCCAGGGAGTTTGCAGATTGGGCCGCACCTTTTTTGGGTACACCAAAAGGGCATTTTACAAGGGTTTACTTGTGGGTTAGCAGTTTACACGTGGGTGAATGGGGACCCACTTCAAATGTCCTAATGCCCGTTTATTGTGCCTGTGATATGTTGACATTGGTTTATGTCAAGTGCCTTGTAATGTATAGCCACCCTGGAGGCAGAATAATAGGATTACAGAATGCACTGATTTGATTTGATTTCATCTAACTGAATTTGATGTCTTTACAACTATATATAATGTGAATACCAATCGAAGCGGGGGAAAAAGTACGTATCACACGGTAACGTCCATCTGAGAAAATCGAACTAAAATTAATATAACTCGAGTACAGACTGACAGTGCTAGACATCCGAGAGGTGTTTTATCCTAATTGAAAAACTGCATGTTTTGCAATCTCCTCAGGCGCACAGAAGGCGGTGTTTACCTAATCTCCTCCCCCCCCCCCCGCACATCTAGCAAGTCTCAAGCAAAAACAGCTCCTCAAATCGAAACGAATAGATTTATCGACAGATTTTGGATACTTGGCTAACCTTAATTTTTTTGTAATCACAGTTTGATTAAAACTCAACATAGGTCTATCGAAAGGTTACTCTTTGGTCATTAATTGAACCCACATTATAAAATACGTGGGTTTGCAAGAGTCGATGTAGTGGCGCAAAGAATATTCATTCTTCGAGATCCGCAACAATTTCCCCCTATCACAGACAACACCTTGCCTTTAGAATTCCACCACAAACACACACCACGAACCCAATTTATTAGTTCTTCGCCCATCCCCACAACGACCCATCCAACTTCTCCCCGGTAACGGTGTCATCGTGCTTGCCTTGGGTAAATGTCACATCGGCTGTGTACACGATATTATCAGGGTTTTCGTCTGATCATTGCAGGGATTAGTACGGGGCCAGAGATAACAGAAAGAACACAAGTTCAACAAGAAGGGAAATGCACACACTGGGTGATGTAGTATTGTGTAACATTTAGAGGGTGATTCGGAAATGTCTGATAAAAAGGGGTGGGGCAGCTGTTTGAGGGCGCTATGACATGCGAACAATAGCCGTAAATACCTCTGCAGAAAGATCTAGCGTCAAAAGTAATTATCAATTTCTAAGGATCCCGATGGTATTTTAGACCGAATAACAGCACACTGTTGAGTCAAACTACTTATGGAAGCTTTTAGTGAACAATTTCGTCATTTTCCCCCTTCGGGATAGCAGTGCCAATGGGCCTAATGCGCAATACCTTACTTCAGAAAAATTAAAAACACTCAACCATTTTTTTCTCGCCTATAAAAAAACGTTCGACAGTAACATGCTGTATAGCGCCCTCTGTTGAAAATCAACTAAAACAACTTTTATGCGGGGAAAAAAGAGAACAATTCAACCAATGAAGTGTGGTCGTAATACCTTATAATAATCAACGTTAATTGTTCATTCATTGCTTAACCAGTTACGATGTACCAATAACAATACACCATTACAAACAATCCTACCAAAAAAAACTATCCATGAATGCTATGGAATTTGAAAAAAAATAATGCCACTTAATCTGCGAAAAAGTTCGAGGCAAAGAAACGTCCAATCAGCGGGCTTGTTATAAAAAAAAACACAAGCGGATATTGCTGCGAATTGATTGGAGACTTTTAAGACGGTTGGTGGCAGCAAACACACCGGTCCTTTTGAACATGCGCACATTAGCTTAAACAGGACCCAGACACTGAAAATGACCCCTCTTCCCTCCACACACCCACAATAAATCAAAAATCCATTAAATATAAACATGTGCAATAAAAATGATACTATGAATACATGGAACTGAATTAAATAAAAAATGATTGTTAATCTTGGACAACGGTCTCTGTACATGGAAGCTTTAGCTATAGGGGGTATGAAAGTGTATACATTCCCCAAAGAAAGGACGTCATCATTAGACGATCAGATTCAAAATTATGACCCCTCTAATGAGTGTGGACTTTGTTTGCTGTGTTTACTTAGAATCTGATAACACATGCCTCATCTTAATATGGCCACCCAGTCATTGTGGGTGCAACAGTGCAAAAAAAATCCCATAGCCACTAGTGCTAAATGCCCATACTTCAAAATTCTTTTAAAAATACTCAGAACTCTCACAAGTATTTAAGCTGCACAGAAAAATGATGATCGACGTGTCATCTTTCAATTTCTTTTCATTTTTTGATGGGTTGACAGTTGACTTTTCGAGAAATTCTCGCCCAAAGAAGACCACCCCTATTTTCCCCAAAGCGGAACGGTAGCCATCTTGAAAAACGATCCCTCCACAACATGGCAAAATAGCTCCACTTTCGAGCCCAATTGTATCCAAAATGCTCAGAATTGGAAGCCCGAGTCCGGGACAGAGGTTCATTGCCATATTTCTTCAATTCCCCAATGGCTCTCAGAACTCTCTAATATAGAATATTTTGAGGGTATAACTTTTATTCATGAGCTCGGCAGATGGGTTAAGGCCTATTTACAGGTGTGCACCCTTGTGCCCGCTTTACATAGCCTCACTCTACGGAAATCCAAGTACACATACGTAGACCATAAAGCGTTAATTGCGCCAGCTCAATACGTCTGGATAGTTAATCAATACGCTCATTGTCCATGTACCTCACGCAACGACATTCACACGCTAGGCTTATGACAATAATTGATTTTTCTCTACTCTCGCCAAACAATGCAATATTTATTATCCTTCCCCGGCCCGGCTATAAATAGCATCGCATCTTTATATGCAGGTCGTTGTTTAGACTCACTCGGGCAGACTGGTTGTTGAGAGGTCGTGGCATTGATCTCGCGGTGTGATGACAGTAGAGCCGCTGGCTGTGACTCGCACACTAACATTGTGTCTGTCTGATCCCGAGAGCACGTTCGCGCTGTGTGTTTATCTTAACATGTGGATTCTGACGCGTCTGGTGTAACTGGGAAAAAAGGTAGGAACATTTTTTAGACTCATGAATATGTTTTTATCCTAATAGTTGCATGCACCTGTAATAGTGAGATACGATATTGCACTTAAACTTGACCATGTGTAGTCTCTGAATTCAGATGTGTTTTGTTCAATTGGGAAAGAAATGTAGACACTTTTCCTTCTCATGAACATGGTTGTTATGCGCCTATCAAATGTCCCTCCCTCCCACCCCCGCGCTTCCCCCTGTCCGATGTCGGGATTTGGTCATGTTATTCATGCCCCAGGGTGGGGATTTTGGCCACTGAAATTGCATTATTACCATTGGCATACTACATGGAAAGGCAATCGCTATAGTGCACCCCATAAGTCAGGGCATGGTTGGGCATTGTCGCTTAAATTTTGCCCGAGGGGGCCAAAAGTGACAATCCCCACGTCTTGGGTGGGGCAGCCCAGGTTGGGGAGGGGGCAACAATTGATAGACGCATTACATCCTTTGGTTTACCTCTGAAGTATACACACGACGTCTTGGTCAACTGGGAATGAGTTAGGATGTTGTACCTATGGTTGTACCTCTTTCACCCTCTATAGGGGCCTATATATCCTAAGTCAATTTTTTTCTTCCTCTTGAAAATTGTTTTTCGTAAGTTTTATGTTTGTGAATTCTGCTAACTGGAGGTGGAACCATGTTTCGCTGTTTAATTGGCCCATGTTATTTGTTTTTATGCAATCTTTAAAAACACTCATTTGTCCCCTATTTAGCCTAACGTTATTTATAATTTTTGTTTTTGCCACTTTCAAGGGTATTTTGGCAAGAATATTTTGGTACCATTTTCAAGGGTACTTTTGAACAGTATCTTCCTGAAATGATATCACAGCAACAGCGCCCTCAGTATAATATTTTTTTCATACATTTCAGATGAGTAGAAAGTTGCACAAAATGTGTTCTATAAAAAAACCCTGAATTTCATGGGCCCTTTACAGAAAATTGTAGTTGCCTAGGTTTTCGGTCCTCTAAATCTGTGAATCTGATGCGTGTTATTCTACTTGGGAGAGATTTGAATATTTTTTTTGATGTGTTCTCGGGAAACTGTACTTGCTAAGCCAAAATCTTAACCCATGAGTTCATCTTCATCGTGTTTGTTTGGAAAGGATCGATTGATGATGAAAATAGGAGGCTACTCGCGTGACGTTACTGCTAAGATCTATAGCTTCTTTACCTTGTTTACCGCCTTGAAAAGCTTCAGGAAATGCTAATTGGAGAGTTGACATTTATTATAATGCTGTTTGGTATAGGTTTTCCTTGCAAACAAACAAGATAGCTTAAAAGGTTTGATAAGGTCAAATGCCTATGTTAAAGCATAGTGTTACATTTGCTTTTGCTGTAATTGGTTTCAGAAATGGATGGATTTGGGGTTAGTATTTTATAGTTAAAATTGTTACACTGACTTGTTTCAAGTTTTGTGTTTGTAGATGCTGGAAAAAACAAGAACAAATATCAAGTTCTTGTAGTCTGGTTCCCTGACTCCACTCCAGATGAAACAGACTTATAGACGTCGGGGAATTGTAAGCTCAGGGAACCAGTGTAGCTGGCTTGTACCCGTACAGATAATGTGTAGCCGATTGCAAACAAAATGTGGACTGTGGTAAATCGGGGGGTAATATTTGAAGAACGATGTTGGAAATTAATACAACATTTCCACTTTTCTTGAAAATGTCAGCACACCAGATGCCATGAATTTTGCTGTTTTGATGTTTCCAATTTTTTAGGCAATCCATAACCCTGGGAAAATGCTAATACATGTATATCCAAATCCTTTAATTACGCACAGATTTAGCTATTTCAGGTTTACACGTTCGTGAAGGTTTGGTTAAAGAGATGGTCAGTACAAGCCTAACGAACGTCTTATGATTTTTTTTCCGCTTGGAAGTACTTTGAACCTTTATTTAAAATTACTCGTGAGCAACGTATGCCTATCTGGGAAACTATAATCCGAAACTCTAACCATTCTAGGTATCTGACAACATACAAATCTTAGCAGTCAAATGCATTCCTTTTTATTTTATAGGATATAATAGGATATTTATAGGATTTTTATAGGACATGTAAAACAGTAGCGTATAAACAAGCCCCTTTAACTTAGCTAGATTATTTTCCAGTATAATTATAGTCAGTCATTTAAACTGTGTTTCTTTCATGCTGGACTTGTTTAAGAGATACTCTTGAGAAAAGACATCTTTGGAGAAGCATCTTAATAGATCCTCCTATATCCCTCGTGTTGTATCAGTAACCTCTGCCTCATAATACCCCATTTGTAAATACCAAGGATGTTAGTATGGCAGTAAAAAGGCCATAAAAATAAGCTGTGTCCCCCGTGATAGCTCTAAAACTAAAGGCTCATAGCGGAGACGACCTCCGAGCTTAACAACCAAGCAGGATCGATTTGTCCACTGCTCGGTGCCACAAGGGCACTTAGAGTGTATTTGTTCAGATCACTTCGGCCAACGAGAACACTTGAGAGCTACATCAAAGAAACAAGACGGCTACAGAGCTGTTTAGCGGGGAGTATACAGGGACTGACTGATGTTTTAAATTGGGAACGAGAAGATGCGCGCCGATGACCTCCAGCACCTTGATACACAAATATTATCAGGGAAAAGCAATTCAATATGTTTGGAATATACAGGGCGAGTCAAAAAGAAAGTGACCGAATTAGAAGAAATATAAAGAAAACTAGAGGTCTATGTCTGTTTGCAACAGAACATAGGGCTTTTCCGCATTACGTTTTTTAAATTGAGGTTATGTTTTTCTGTTTTGAATGCATTATCATTATTAATTTTATATCGATTTTCAAAGATTCAATCTAGAAATCTTTGGTTGGTGTTTGTAATCTGATACCTGATGACGTCATCGTGACGTCAGTACCAGAAAGCTAGAGAGTTATGTTAACGGTGCTATTTGAAGCAAAAATCTGGATATAGATTTAAAGATCTTTTCAAAGTGACTTCCGGTCTGATGACGTCATCCCATTTTTTTCGCACACAGGTGTTTTTGACAAAAAGAAGAGAAAATAGAAAGAAAAAAAATCTGAACAAAAAGAAAGGCTTTTCCGCAACTATGCGGAAAAGCCAAACAAATCAGAACAAAAACAATGACTTTTCCGAACTATGCGGAAAAGCCAATGAGAACAAAAAGATCGGCTTTCCCGCAACTTTACGGAGAAGCCAAAAATGTTGCTCGCTCCATTTCACAGAAAACCCACCGGCATAAAGTACATGCTATTGACTGGTAACTGTAAGCATTTCTGGTAATGTGCATACTCTATTCCCAAGTTATGTCTATTTTAATATGAAGATCACACAATTCAGCAGTCCATGCACCACTGATCATTTAGCGTTCTACGAACTGATGAATACCATGAAATAAAATGAAACATGGACGTTTTCCCAACTCGGTGAATGGGGAAGAACTTGCACTGGGAAACATACCAAAATCGCCATTAATATTTCAGAACAAAATAGAATAAGAATTCAATTCAAAAAGAAATCCTAATTGCACTGCGCGCCAAAACATACCTCAAAATAATATGCCTGCTCCATGCGAATCGTCTATGCGCTTAGTGGGCTTAGACCACAGCGTACGCATGCTGGAGTACGTGTTTGTTGTCAATTTCTCTGCCACTTCGTTGCTGCTTTGAACATCTGATTCCTATCATCTCAGGATTTTGACTTCTTACCTTTTCCGTCAAGCTACTGACTGAGTTGACTGAACTTTACCCGTCTTTCATTTCCCTCATTCACGGTTTTTTCCCTATTCCCTGTGTCAATATTTACATTATGCTCGCTACCTTGAAATTAGCCCTTACATGCATAAGCAAACACATCTGCTTGAGAACACTAAGGATAAAAAAAAGGAGAGTCTGTACAGAGGAATGTCAAATAGGTTTATACAAGAAACAGGTGGAGTTGGTTGATACTGTTCAAAATCATTACTTACCGTTCTACAATGCTTCATTTCTGCTGCAATTTTGCGAGAAAGTCTGCATTTTGCGACCTGTTCACTGAGCAAAAAACCTGAAAACAATTGACGATTAAACAAATTATGTAAATTGTCAAGATGTAAATTGTCAAGATGAAACCACCCAAAAAAAATATCAATCTAAAGATATCCTTGTCTCATGCACTTACAATATTTGACATCTACCCCTTGCGGACGGGGCATAATAGACCATTATCATGTTGCAGCCATTTGATTTTTGCGAGAAAGTCTGCATTTTGCGACCTGTTCACTGAGCAAAAAACCTGAAAACAATTGACGATTAAACAAATTATGTAAATTGTCAAGATGTAAATTGTCAAGATGAAACCACCCAAAAAAAATATCAATCTAAAGATATCCTTGTCTCATGCACTTACAATATTTGACATCTACCCCTTGCGGACGGGGCATAATAGACCATTATCATGTTGCAGCCATTTGATTTTTTTCCCCATTCAGATCAATGTATTAACCAAAGCGAGGCTGGAAGGAAAAATAGTCTGGTTCCTTTTTGCACAAACACATTATTATTCAGTACTGTTATTGGATACAGGGAACATGCCAAAAATGGTGGAAACATGATAAAGGTCTATGGGGGCATTCCTCCATACATAGAGCAAGTGACCCGCATGACTACACAGCCTTTGCTGAACTGCACAGAAGTAGCAGCTGTAGAAATACCCATTGGCCGTGTGCCAAGGCATACCACAGCTGGCAAATGCATTCCACTGAGGATTAGCGGCCGCGGCTATAGCCGCTCCCCGGCTTTAAGGGGGCTAAAAAGTAGACCTCATTGTCTTCTGATGTCCAGCCAAGTTAGTCCATTTGTCATCAAACTTAGAAATATGGAGAAATGCTTCCACGAAAACATCATTAGATACAGGATGAAAAGTACGACTTTAAAGCCATAAGACGTTTTTTTCATTTTCACAAGACCGATAGTTATTGCTATTGGCACATTGAGAGATGAAAATCGTCTATGAATTCCTGATCAACTCAATAAACTTTACTGTAAATAACAAACTCAATTAAAATACCAACATAAATGGATTTTAAAATTTCATTTTACATTTAAAGGGAATATACAACATTTGCCTTTGCTGTAAATTTTAGAAATGGATGGATTTGGGGGTTAGTATTTTATAGCAAATATTGTTACACTGACTTGTTTAAAGTTTTGTGTTCGTAGATGCTGGGTTAAAATCGAGAATAAAAACTTGTGTTTTTGTAGTCTGGCTCCCTGACCCCACTTCAGATGTGTAACCGATTGCAAACAAAATGTGGACTAACTAAATTTTGTAAATTGAAAAAAAGCCAGTTTTTCCAACGATGGTCGGCCGACCATTGTTGGAAATTGATGCAAAACTCCCACCTTTCTTAAAAATGTCAGCACACCAGGTGCCATGATTTCTCAGGATGTTTTAAACCATCATTCACTAACAGTTCGGTAAGGTATTTCATAATAATTTGGTAGTTTTGTTTTTTGATGTTTGCAAATGTTGTATATTGCCTTCAAATAATGCACTCCTTTCTCACCGAAAGTCATTTAGGCCAATATTTAGTGAACAACACTTAAAATGAGAAACAAATCCACAAAGAGTAAACCTTGAAATTGAAAAAATAAATCTCAATAAGGAATGTTTCTCTAAGCGATAGCCAATATTTGACTGTCTGTACTTGATATCAAGCGGATTATAACCTTATCATAGCAAGCGTGAACGGCATTTTTCTCCGATAAAGCCATGTGGTTTAGTGGATGATTCTATTAGAAAGTCCCAGACGGGAAAAATATTATTCTTGTAAACAGACTGATAAAGCCTCCTGGAGGGCAGGCCAGCATATGGCATGAGATATTTGTGATTTGTAGGATAGAAAGAAGGAAATATCATGGGGTGAGAGAAAATATGTGTGGGGCATGTTGGGGGTAATATTAATAACACCGTTTGGCAGTCTCTGTACAGGGTGGTGCAAAAAGAAGGAAACCCACTTTTGACAGCAATTTTCACCTTCTTGCTGAGCTTTTTGCAAAAAAAATCGATTTAATGGAATTAAAATATTGATCTTTAAACATAAGTGACGAAAACATGACTGCAAATGCGTATTTTGTCTCTGAGATATGGTAGTTTAAAAGTGTCATGTGCCAAACCTGTTTGTCCACGGACGGCTTTATTCCATCCGCTTGACTGAGCTCCGGAGCTTGATTTGAAGACAACCAAAACTACACTAGACTGACTTTAATACACGTGGACAACAGTGATTTTGGTTACTTGTATTCAAATTAGCATAATAACACTATTTTTTTTTGCGTTTTTTAGAAGATTTTTTTTCACAACGTACGGTTGAAGGGCTATTCTTCACTACATTATAAAAAAAAAAACAAGTTTAAATAAGTTCATTAAGTATTTTTGATTATAATTTGATTCATTAAGTAAGTAGGTTAACAATTCCTGTCGGGTGGGTTTCCTTCTTTTTGCACCACCCTGAAGAGCTGAAAATAGGCAGGTTAGAAGAACTCTCCTTTTTCAAATAGACATCAGCCCTTTAAGCAATTTTTTTTTTATTTGAAGGAAAAGAGGGAAAGATGGGTGAGGACAATATTTCAGCATTGTGAGTGTTGGATCAATAGACCTTTATCATGCTGCCACCATTTCAGTCATGTTCCCTGTATCCAATAACAGTACTTACTGAATGATAACTTTTTTGTGCAAAAAGGATCAGACTAATTATCCTTCTAGCCTCGCTCCGGTTACGTTGATTTGAATGGGAAAAATCAAGATGGCCGCAACATGATAATGGTCCATAACACAGTATGGCATAAAACAGAATCTGTACAGTTGAAAACAGCAACAGTAATTTGTTTAAAATGCTATCCTTCTAAATGCACCTTTTGTGTCCCACTTAACCTTGTTTCCAATTTTCGTTTAGCTATTTTGAAGGGTATTTTGGTGCCTTTATTATGTTAATGTGAATTTCCATATTCATACGCAAAATTTTGATGTCACTCCGGGCAGAAACCTTAATGTTACAGCTATTTGAGCAAAAAAAAGTTGCTAAACTTTTTTGATATTAATTTTTGCTGACATAAATTTCCTTTCTTTGATGATTTGCTATTCCCTAAGTACATGGCGGTAAGCCAATGAGCAACCCTTTTTCACAAGTGTTTTTTTTCAATGAGCAAATTTTGGATTCACAAATTGAACTGAAAACCACTAAACTGAACGGTGACTTCCCGAAATGACATCACAGCTACAGCGCCCTCAGATGTCCGGAAAAGCATGGAACATTTTTAATGTTGAAAGAAGTGCACTCTTCAACCAAATTAACCAAAAAGGGATGTCACATAGCTTTCATCCATTGAGAAGGAGAAAGTTGCACAATGTGTTCCTAAGAAAAAGTCATCACATGAACCCTTTAAGAGGATGTTGCGCTTGAACTAGGAATGACCTTTAAAGCAAACCAATATTATTGTATGCAGTACACACAGTACTTCAGAGAAATAATAACAAATTGAATACTTTGGAATATTACCATGACTAATTCTGTGGACTACTTCCAAACATTAATGATTATCTATTATTACATTTTCCACTGCAAAACATGAATTTAATGCTCCAGTGTTCATAAAAAAGGTAGAAATAAAACAAAACAAACCAACGAAGGAACATTTGATAGGGCCCAACACGTCTCCCCCAAGGCTAAAATGGAACATTCCAAGCACTCACACATACAAGTGAGAAAGCAAGCGGCGTAATTTGACAAATAATATTTTCTCTCTAATGCACGCTATAAATAGCACGGCGCGGTTCTCCCCACGGGAAACAGCATCATCAATCGACAGAATAGGTTGCCGGTGGCGACGCCGCATCAGCGTAACCGAGGAGATTGTCTCGGCCAGCATCCACCCTCCCTTCTCTTCCTCATATCTCGCTCTCGTGCTGTCGGTGTTTTTGTGAGTCACGCGTCAACCTCTCCCCGATTCACGGCATCACGATATTTTTGTACTGCCTGCAAGATGAAGAGATTGGTATAGCCTACTCGTCATCCACAACATTTCGTCCCTGCATTCGACCGTGCGCATCTCGTGGGCAGCATTTGCCGGTAAATTAAGAAGCCGCGCTGTAACAAGTTAATGGACTAGCGAGGACCGTGCACTGTCGTCAGAATCCGCCTGCATCCGACATGATTGCTGATGAGTGCTTGATGATGGAGCATCGTTGAAATAAAGCATCGGCGATAAACCTCCCAGCTCAGATCTCTGAGAACTGATTCCGCTTTCAGGTAGTTATTTTTGTAGTTTTAGCTTACGCTTCATTATGATATCATATCCACTATGTCCGACAACCAATGTCTTTTACAGGTACAGTAATATACATTATAAAATAACATAGCGATCCCCCACAGCAAGGGCGGATCCAGAACACAATTTTGGGGGGGGCCAAAACAAATTTTGGTCCCCCCCAAAAAAAGTGGGTCTAAAAAATTACGGCGTGGGGTTCGGGGCCCGTGAGGGCCCCGAAATTTTTTTGGATTCTAGATGCTCTGTGGTGCGATCTGAGGCAATTTCTGACCACTTTAACCAATTTTTTTGAGGAAAAGATGGTGGTGTACTCATTGCCTGCCTTTATTGCGATGTCACATTAAAAAAAAAAAAAATTGGTTTCGTTTTTGGGGGGGGGGGGGCCATGGCCCCCTTTGGCCCCCCCCCCTGGATCCGCCCTTGCCCCACAGCAGCATATAGTCTGGCCTAATCGCTAGGCCTAACCAAAGAGAGATGGGCACTCCGTTCCTGTTAACACAGGTTCGTCCCCTTTACCTTTTTATATCTTTATTTTTTTTTTTTTAAAGTAATCTCTATTTAGGAAAGTAATCTCTAATTAGGAAAGTAATGTTACACTTTATCAATGTAAACCTACAATTTAAATTATGCATTGAGGGAAACAATGTATATAGGGCGAGTCAAAAAAATGAAGGAAACCCAAATGGTGCCCTCTATTTATTTTAAGGAAGTTCTGCATGTAGCGCTTTCCAAATCTAG